AGCAGGGAACCTCGAGAGATGTGGAGGACATGAAGCGTATGGGCAAAGAACAACTGTTCAAGGTAAACCCCTCTTTGCGCCACCCAGTCGCCAGAGAAATGTGTTGACAACGGCCTTTTCACAGCGTAACTTTGGTTTTTTGTCCATCTTCGGCTTCGCCATGATTCTGATGAACACTTGGCAAGCGCTCCTCGGGTCAGTCTGGAATAATGTCGCTATACACCTCTTGTCGAACGTCAAGCTGACTGCGACTCCTATAGAACTATTGCCTTTGGTCTCGGTAATGGTGGAACAGCGGGTCTGATATATCTGTACATCGTCGTCGTGATTTTCTTCACTCTGGTCAACATTTCCATGGCTGAAATGGCCTCTATGGCTCCGACAGCTGGTAGGTTCAGACCTTCACAACCGTGCTTCCACTGTCCGTGCTAACCCATCTGGATAGGTGGTCAATATCATTGGATTTCCGAGTTTGCGCCTCGAAGCCAGCAGAAGCTCCTGTCGTTCATTGTTGGTTGGCTTTGTACTCTTGGCTGGCAGAGCGGTGTTGCGATTGGATGCTTTTTGGCGGCAACCGAAATTCAAGGTCTCATTGTCCTCAACAACGACAGTTACGTCTACGAGCGATGGCACGGGACTCTCCTCACCATTGCTATTGTGCTCTTTGTCGCCTTTTTCAACACCTTCCTCGCCAAGCATCTGCCACTGGTCGAGGGTATGGTTCTCTGCCTGCACATTGGCGGCTTCATCTGCATCCTTGTTCCACTGTGGGTCCTTGGCCCTCGTGGAAACTCGCATGAGATCTGGACTGTGTTCGAGGATGGCGGTGGTTGGGGTTCAAGTATGATCCAAATTCTACGTTTTTATAGGCGATCACTGACAACCTCCCAGCTGGTCTCGCAACCCTCGTCGGTATTATCACACCCGCCACTGCTTTCCTTGGTGCCGATGCAGCCGTGCACATGGCCGAGGAGTTGAGGAACGCCTCCAAGACTCTTCCGAGGGTTATGCTATGGACTTCTATCGTCAATGGTTCCCTCGGTTTCATCATGCTTATGTAAGCATATCCATCCATCGAGTTGCGTGAAGCTCTTACTAACATGCATTATAGTACCTTTTGCTGTAAGAAACCACTCTCCAGCCCAGCCTGTGGTATGAAGCTCTGGCTTTCCTTGTCGCTCACATGATTTAGATACCCTTGGCGACTTGAACAGTGTACTCTCGACTCCGACCGGGTACCCTTTTATTCAAGTCTTTTACAATGCCACTGGATCCAAAGGCGGCGCCACGGCCATGTCGTGCATCCTGGTTCTGTCGGCTGTTGCCAACGGTATGACCAATATGGCCACCGCATCTCGACAACTCTTCGCTTTCGCTCGTGACAAGGGTCTACCTTTCCATACCTGGTTCGCTACGGTCGGAAGCCGGGTTGAAATTCCAATCAACGGTGAGTTTTGGCCGCCCTTCTCTCTTTCTTGCAATAACTAAGACATGCTTCAGCCGTCCTTTTCACCGTCTGCTTCTCGGTCCTCTTCTCCCTTGTCAACATCGGCTCGACCGTCGCCTTCAACCAAATCCTGTCGCTCGGTGTCGCAGCTCTGTTGTCCTCGTACTTCATCTCCATCGCCTGCGTTACTTGGCGTCGGGTCTGCAATCAACCGCTCCTCGACCGCGTCTTTGACCTGGGGCGATTCGGTATTCCCATCAACTTTGCTGCTCTGGCATTCCTCGCTTTGGCCTTTACCATGAGTTTCTTCCCTGGGGCCGCCCATCCGACCCCGCAAACCATGAACTGGTCTTCTCTGGCATACGGATCCGTGATCATCATCGGAGGCGTCTACTACGTGTTCTGGGCACGACACCAATACGTCGGACCGGTGGAATACGTTCGCAAGAGCGCTTAAAAAACTGCTTTGACTTTAGTTTCTGGGAGTTTTCTTTTGGAAACCGGTGAAATATGGTTGGCCGTCTGAGTTTCCCATATTTTTCCACAAGGTTGGGACTACTTGTATAGTTGACTTTTTCTCTCTCACCTGCCAAAAGAAAATCCAGTCCGAAAGCTCACTTGTTCACGGGGAAAATTGGATGGAGTCCGGCAGCCTTTTTCACGTGGGGTTCGTTTCCCCATCTCTCACACCAAACCAACCCTATTACCTATCTAGGTACCTAAACTAGACGATCATCGAACTTAGAACGAGGTGTACAGTACTCTCTCTCACACATGTCTCTCTCATGCGCGCACATACAGGTCTCCGCAAACGGCGAAAACACTACACGCAAGGTCAGTTGTATGTCACGTCATGTCATGCGTCATACGATATATGAGATGTCAAATATGTGAGAACGTGCCACACACTACCCCCCATAATTCGACCATACGAATTGATCGATCAGCTACAGGAGTTACTCGCCTGGCCTGTTCTAGTAATCCTGTCCAGTGCTCTCTTTCCCTTTCCGTGCCCTTTCCTCTCGCCCCGTGTACTTGATGCAACACCATCATTTCACCCTCACCTGTTGCATTTGTGTTTGCGTTTCCGAGTGCATGTATTCTGCTGTGTTGTGCCGTTCTTAGTGCTGATTGTTGGTCACGAGGCGTCTGGCAGGAGGGGGACTCGGGACTCTACATAATGGCGATTGCGTCGCCGATATCAACTCACTCACCCACTCGGGAATGACACCCATGGATATCGATACGGAGCTTGACGTCGAGGAGGACACAGGGATGGTGGCGTCGCCGCCTCCTTGGTCGTCTACGGATGACATTGAGACCAGGGGGATGAGGAAGGGCCAGATGGGTCAGGACGTGCTATCAAGGTTGCGGATGAGGTGAGAAGGGTTCCATGGAAAGAGGTGCGGATCGTTGAGTTCTGACCATGAAATTTGAGTCCTGGTGATCCATACAGTTCATGTGGGATGGAATGTATCGGCTTGGAACAGAGATACTCGGTAGAGTTTCGTACATGCGTGTTCAGACCCCCATCACGCCCGAACCTCAGCTTAGTCTGGAGAAATTTGCTTTTTGGTCCACCTCAAGAACTCCCCTACTATGCGCATTGTCTCTGGTCTTTCCACAGAACATGATTGTGACCGACGATAGTTGCTCCCATTGTAACCAAACCCTTGTCATCACGAGATAGACAGGGTGCACCCAGTGTGGAACAGGCAACCACTGGGCAATTGTGGGCTCTCCAATTCCGCCCTCGACATTCAGCTTCGATTGGATTCGACATGTAATGTTCCTACATGCCGAACAGATGGAAAGCAACCCGGGTGGCAGGGTATTCTAGCGTCCCCCAGATGAAATCTGTCTGGTAGATGCCGTGAAGCGGTCTCATTCAAAATGCGATCTGTATTGACAGCTCACCTCTGTTTGTAGTGTCTTCGACCGCTTGAAGAGGGATGTTTGAAGCCATTACCACCACCAGCATCCCCAGCGCTCCAAGCGGGGCGGTGTGGCAGATTCACAGCCGTCAGAGAAGCTAGACAGCCAAAACAGGCCCGGTGATCCCAGCGAAGCGTCTTCGAAGATGGCAAGATCGTGTAGGGGGGTGCCGCACGGGGTTGGTACCATGTCCTCTAGTCCATGACCACGGCGACAGTGTACACCTTCTCTGGCAGGCAAGCATGCATGTTTTAGCCCAGTCTCTACCGATCTAGGCCGGAAACCGGAAAGGAGCGTCGACTAATATGTGGAGCATCCTGCATCGATTTATTTCTTTCCTCCAGTGAGGTGTGTCTGTTGGTTGCAGATTGGCGCGACAATGGCAGCGTTCTACAGTAGGTAGGCGGCTTGGGGGTGTGCAAGGATGTGGAACAACCCTTGTTGGGCGTGTCTGTACCTCGTAAAGGCTAGCGGGCGAGGACTAGAGCACCATTGCTCAGATTGCCGGTGATATGTAGTTCGGTTCGCCAGTCAGCAATGCTCGCTTAGGCTCTAGCTTCACTTTCTTACTTCATTCTCGTCTGGTCTTTCCCAAGCGCACAGCTGCCCTCATGTCAATATCCATGTGCAATGGCCCCCTGTGGATCGCACCTGATGGAGCAGGATTCAGTGCCATAGTTGTTCAGATGGACGGGATCGAACTGTCTCGAGGAGCAGGCCAGCAGAGGAGGGAGGATGATGCGCACCAAACAAGAAGAACGTTCAACTGAACAAGATGGCCAACAAAGATGGAGAGGAATACGAAGTCGAGCGGAGACCAGAAACTAGAAGCTGCGGCACCAGCATCTCATCGAGTCTTTTACGTCACGACATGTTTGCTCGTTGCGGTCTTGGATCAACTTGGATCAACCTGGACGTGGCCAAAGTGGCCAAAGCAGCCCCGACGACAGTGGCGCAGTTTGCGCAGTTGAAATGTGTACCGAAATGGCTGCGACTCCTGTCATCGACTCGCACCGATTGGGTTCCCTCGACGACTTCGTATTCTCATGCATCTGTCAAGTTTCAAGCCAGGCTACTTGGCATTTTGGGCCTTTCACCTCGCAGAAGCACCGTGAAGCCCCTGGGGCAACACTCCAGGCTCTCTTTCACTTCCCCGCTATCGTCCAGATGATCGACTTAGCCCGCGATCGGCTCTTAGTTTTCTCGGATATCCTGTGATGCGACGGCCTACTGCGTGCTTCATCCAGCACCTCTCTCCAACACTGCCTCTGTCGGTGTTTCGGGGCCGCTGAAAAGAATGGGATAGTGGTCTGCACAGGCAACACACCCCCGAAAGCCACCACGGGGACGGTATATGGTCCTTGTATGTGACTATGACTGGCATCCTGGACACATGCAAGGTTACCAGGATCCCTACGCACCCCCCGCCTTTGCCTCTTCCTCTCTGCCAGCCGCATATTTCGCACCGGGTTTGTATCCTGCAATCACCTCCCTTTTTCTCTTTCTCCCAGCAATCAAAACCTCTCTGCTGTTGGCTTTCCGACAATTGTCTCCATGTTGAAGCGACAGCAGCAGACAGAAATCGTGATATTGAGACGAGCTCGTCACCATAGAGAATATGACCTTTGCAATGCCGAGCACCCCTACCTTGAATCAAGACTTTGACGATGCCAGGGACGAGTTCCTGTACCAGCTTGCGGACGAGGACAGGAATACCTTTCGTGGCATGGATACACGTGAACAGCTACACAACTATACAGCGCAGCTCGTGGAGGCCTCTCAATTCAAGAAGAGACCCGCTGTGAAGATACTACGGATAGTAGTGTTGCTAACTGAGGCCCTTGCGCCTTATTTCGAGGCGCTTGAACTTGTCACACAGGGCGTCTCAGCATATGCCTCCATGGTCTGGGGATCTATATCCCTAATTCTCAAGGTTAGAAGGTCCATTTTCCCCGTGTGTGACCCAGTGCTGAACCACGAAAGATGGCAAGCCGCTTTCCTGCTTTCTTCACCAAGCTGGGTGACCTTTTGCAAGAAGTGTCGGCACGTATTCCTGCTTACCAAAAACTTCTCGAACTCACCAAATCGGACGCTTCTCCGTGTGAGCGACCACCATGGAACGATGCACTGAGCTTGTCCCTTCACAGGTTATATGCTGATCTTTTCGATCTTTTCGGCAACCTGGGTAAAGTTTTTACCCAAAAAGACGCAAGTATGTTACCCTCCTCTCTCCTCAGGTGGTATATAACAGGATATAGGACTGGGGAAAACATCTTTGGTCGTTACTCATCTACTTTGGCATCCTTTCGAAGCTCGGTTCGAAAACTTCCTGAAGAAACTCGCTGTCCACACCGAAATTTTTGACTCAGAGATGCTTGTACGAGCCCAGAAGCCTATGCAAGCTGTGCGTCCCATTCATGAGAGGCTGTTGATCCAGGAACAATCACTTCTGGAACGGATGCCCGAATGCAATGATATCCTTGGGGAGGCGAATCAAGGAATGAGAGTAGCCGCCAAAAGTAAGTTCCTTATTCAAACCGGTATGGAGGACCATTTACCAAGTTCTTCTAGGTGAGCTAATTGACCGCATCTGGAGGTGGTTGTGCCCACCATCCTTTGCCGATGTTTTGAGGGGGGTGTGTTCCCTTCGTCAAGAGGGCACTGCAAATTGGTTGTTCAAGCTCCCAGAATACAACTCCTGGTTGGCAACCTCTCGGGGCGTAGACGGGCCATGTGAGCGGCCTGGCCCTTGGCTCTGGGTTAGAGGTCAGCATTCCCTATTCCTTGTTACGACTCGACACTGATGTTGACCCTGAGCATAGGGGTGCCCGGAACCGGCAAGACCGTTCTTGCCTCCGCAACGATTTCCAAGCTCTCCGAGTTAGCCTGTCCGAAAACTAATGGCTCAAAAGTTATCTCGTACTTCTTTTTCGACCACGATACCCCGGCGCGGAACTCGATTCGCTCTGCGTACGCGTCGCTGCTGGTTCAGGTCCTGGATCAATGCTCCACATCCCCCGATATCCTTGATCTGTTCAGCTATGCTATGACTCGAAGGACTCGAGCACAAGATCTTGCAACAAAAGATGACATGGCTGACATACTCAAACTCTTGACACCCCTGTTGCAAGATTGGTACATCGTCATAGACGCTGTAGACGAGTGCGCCGCGTCAGAATCATTCCTGAAAAGCCTCTTAGATCTGAGGTTGGCTGGGAGGCCCAGGATTCTGTTGTTCAGCAGACCAAATGTCAGCTACCTTCAACGAAACGTACCTGCTGCTGACACGATTACCGTGACGCCGGAGCTTGTGAACGCCGATCTGCGCTGCTTTCTCTCAGTCCATCTCGAGGAAATGCAAAACTTGGATCTCTTCCCCCGTGGTGCCGACCTTGACGAGCTGCTCTGTTTTCTTCTCACGGGCGCTGATGGCATGTTCAAATGGGCGCAACTCATGATTACCTATTTGAAGTCAGACGCTCTGGACATTTCGTCCCGGTTGAGACTAATCAGAGGCCTCAAAAGACCTGAAAAGCTCGAAGATATGTACATGCGCATACTTGACGTGATCGCGCGGAAGCCTCGAGTTGAGCAAATCTTTGCAAGGCGCCTGTTCGTGTGGCTTGTCTTCGCCAAAGGCGTCGGTCGTCTAGATCAACTCCAGGACCTCCTTCAGACACTGAAAGGGAAGGTAGCCTGCGATCTCACTTTGGAAGAACAGAGAAGCTACAAATCCAAGTTCGCCAATTTTGAGGACAGCATAGTTGCGATCTGTTCGAGCCTAGTTGAGGTGAAGTGGTCCGAAGAAGAGCCTCGACGCAGGGTCTGCCGCTTCGATCATTACTCCGCCCATGAATTTCTCAGGGTGAGGTGTTCCCAAACTAGCGTTGACGCTGATATCGGAGTGGCAGGCACCGAATACCTCCATCCCCCGAGGTTTGAGGCGGAATCCGAGTTGCTAATGGCCTGCTTTCAGTATCGCCAGATGCAGCAGTCTCACCGGCCGTCTTCCGGGAGCTCTTTCCAAGCAGTGTCCTATACTATCTTAGACGATACTCGACCGTTCCTGAGATACGCCACCTTATTGTGGGTAGCACACCTAAAACAACCATCGAATGCTTCTGGCAAAACACTTGACGCCCTCATACAAACGCTGGGCGCATTCCTCGCTGATGGCGTGGGCATGTTGGCCTGGGTTGAAGCACTTTACATCTACCAAGCAGACACCAAGAGGATATTTGACGACTTAGGTCGATGGGCGTCCAAGTTACCCACTGGTCCCACCTCGTCCTCTGGCCCATTTTCACAGAAGCTCAACGATATTGCCCACCTTGTACATGCTTTGGTCTCTGACCTCCATCAGCTGGACAAAGCGGGGAAGGCTAAACTTTTGAGAAATCCGGGTCAGCTCTGGACCGAAATCACGGCGTTCAGCAATAGTCCATTCTTTGCCCGACCCTCAGCGACTACTGCCCCGCAAGCTGTGCCGGGGGAAAGTAGGCTATCAAGTGGTAGCTCCGCTCCTTTTGCCCAAATATCTCGTGAGAAGGCTGACGAAGACATCCTCGCTATTCTGAAAATTTGGCCTTCTGCGGTATTCGAGAGTGCAACAAGGAACGGCTACTCTCCTAATGCTGGTGGATCCAACGGAATGTATCAGGGATGGATTGCTCAATATCAGCTATGGAGCATACGGCCCGCCAACCCCGTTCTTAATGAAGAATGGGATTTTCCCCTTGACGTGCAGGAGATCTCATCCTATGTCGCTATTGCTCAGAGTGCATCTACCACTAATTGCCAAGGATTCTTCAATTCTGCTTCCGCCGAGGCTGATACTGTTCGCATCAACCGGCAATTCCCTATCAGCATCGGCCAGAATCTCGACATGTTCACCGTCCTGCACAAAGTTTATGCTAGCCACAGAAATCATCTGTTCTCCTATGAAACCGGTCGGACGAATCTCTGTAATTGGTATTGCAAGCGACTCCCGATTATCTATGACGCCAGGTCTGTTTCAGTGTTTCAGCCTCTGGATCGCTGCGTACAAGACTCTCGCAGTAGTGGAGTCGCTTCGAGAGAGTCCCGTACTGTCTTCAAAGCTGGCAGGCCAGCAGCCTTCCGGATCTTCGCCCACAATGACCTGGTTATTTACCAAGGTGTTGCAAGCAGCAGTTATGACAGGGGACTAGACCACTACAGCGGCCGCTTCGTGAACGAGAGTTCCTTCATGGCAATCTTCAAGGTGGAAGCATACGGCCGCGGTTGCAGCGTCAAAGTGGTCGCTGTTCTGGATGGCCTGGACTTTGCAAATGTCTTCAACAGTTGCACTTTCCATCCGAGCCTGCCGTTAGTCGGACTCATTTGGCACACTGGGACATTTTACCACTGTGCTGCGCTCTGGAGCTTTGCAACCCCAAGCCGGGAAAGGAAATTCGGAGCCAGCTATGTTACGCCAAAAGATTTCCAGATTGATACCGTCACCACATCCACAGTGCTGGCGGATTGCGGCCCGGTTGCCAGAGTCCAGTTTTCCGGAAGCGGTAGCGAACTGCTTGTCGAATTCTTCTTTCACTATCTTCCGAGCGTCCTCGACCTCGAAGAAAGCGCCGCATATCACGCTGCGGTGGCTGCGCGCGACAGCTCGATGAAACATAGAATCGAACAGATATCAGGGTTCTCTCGCCGAGGTTGCTGTCTAGACGGAAACCAGACTCGTTTCCCAGGGCCCTTTGTTGCTCTGCAGCAGCAGGACGGACTTGTTGTCCATGGGGACGAGGCATTTTCTCGCTACGTCTCGAAACTCGATCTAGCTCGACGGAACGTTGTTAAGCCAACCCGAGACGTGGATTCTCACAAGGAACAGACAGTATCGTCTCGGGCAGTGTCCAGTGATGTTGATCATCTCCGGGTTAGTGTTTGCTCACCCACGAGGACCAGACAGGACAAGATCGCGCTGATTCTGAACCAAGCGAAAAGACCAGATCATGAATTCAGCGGGTTGATCAGAGATCCTCGGCCAACGGCTAGCACGGGGTACGACCAAGCCATGGCACCTTGCAAATGGATGCACATTGGCTCTCTGCACCGCAAAGTACAAGATGAGACGCAAGCTCTCCACGTGAGCATTCCCACTGTGGATGATTCCTCCTCCTCCTCCTCCTCCTCCTCCTCCTCTTCGTCGTCGTCGTCGTCTTCTTCCTCTTCTTCCTCTTCTTCTCCTCCTCCTCCTCCTTCCTCCCCCCCTTCTTCTCTTCTCCATGACCTGAACCAACAACATACGACCAAGGGTCTGTTCTCACATCAGAAACGACTTCGATCAGCTTTGGGACGCGAGCCATCCGAGGAAGCCGGACCATCCAAGAGACTCCGTCTTTGATTTGAGCTGGCTGCTACTTTTTTGAACGGCGTACTTAGCACCGAGTTATGCAAATATGTTATCACGAGGGCACGTCTGGGATGACTGTCACAAATAGAACTCACGAATTATGTATTTGTTCGACGAGGGTACCTGTATGCTCGTCGAGGAGAAGGATAAGGAAAGGGCAAAAGAAAAGAAGAAAGGGAAAGGGGACAACGAAAGGAAAAGGTACATGCACAACATACAAGGAGGGAGGACAGGGTAGGGAGGACATGAGGCAAACACAAATACGTCGGCACAGACAGAAGACGAAGATGGAAGGAGCCATCTTTCAAGGCAATGGATCGATCACCACCCAGTTAATATTAGTTGAACCGTTCAATTTCCGGTTCTGGCGACCATCTCGTCTCATCTCCTCCCACCCCCATCTCACCCAATCTCTATACTCCCTGAACTCGGTACAGGTGGGGTCTTCGTGACACGTTTAATCTTGCGTGCAAATTTCCTGTCCAGCTTGTACCTTGTCGAAGTAATAGTCTGGAGCCTGGGACCTTAGGCACAGCTCAGCAATCAATGTGGTGTAGCAATAGTTTTGAAACAGAATCAATCCAGGGTTTCAAACACAAAAAAGCAACTTAGTCGAAAATTTCCCACCATATTAATGGGGCGCTCTGCACTGCATGCTAGAAATATAAGTAGATCAACCACCACCGCTACTACTACCACACCATCATCATACCTCCCAGTTTCACTCCCTCTCCCCTCCCTCCTTTCCGTATACGAGCGACGAGGCTCTCCTCCTCGCACTCTCTCACTCTCGCTATGCCCTCAACGACATACTCCCCAACCAAAGCAACACCATATGCTTGCCAGGTCCCGCCGCAGCTTTCTTAGTTCGACATCTCCACCGACATCTTTTGGGTCAACGCCATCCATCCGTCCATCCATCCGCCCACCGCCCATCGAACCCGAAAACCCCCCGGCCTCTCCAAGTTGTGATGGATCAAATGCTTCCAATCTTTCACAAACTGACAGAAAAGCCAGATTTGTGCCCCATGCCCAAAAACAAAAGTCCCTTGGGAATCATGTTGGATATATGTGAGAAAAATTAATTCGCCCTGTGCATATTGTTCAGACTCCAGAGACTCTGATTTCCTTTTCGGCCCAAGCACAAGAAAACCTCTCGCCATGCATTGGTCGCAGGTGGCAGAGACAGTATTCAGGATCAACAGCCTGAAATATCTCTTTCTGGCTGAAGTTTCCGAGTTCGTGCTTTTTTTACTTCCACAAAAATGACCCCAAAAACCGACAGAGTGCAACCATGTCCCAAACCCAAACTGAAGAAAGAAGCAAAAAGTCGTTGCTGACACATAACCACATGACTAGACAATTTTGTGAAAGAAACAGAACGAGGTTGCATGAAGATCAAGAACCGAAGAGACAGCAATCCACGCTATCAGACAGCTGGCAGCAGCCGTGGCCGCGCACATACTAACAAGAGATATCCATATGTAACAGGTGGTAGAAAAATAAATGATGAGCGCCGTCCCGACAGTGCTGAGAAGAATTGGGTACCCAATTTGTGCGAAAAAGCGTGTTTCTAGGAGTTAAGATTCTAGGGGAGGCATCAAGGTCATTTCAAACTGATACAGGGAAGGTCGTTCGGTTTTAGTGATGGAGACCAGCTTGTAGCGCGTGAGGGTCCACGGTGCCGAATGGTGTCATCGGCATGTCCATGTGCTCTCGAGGGGTGTGGAACTCCGACATGTCGTTCATCAACAGCATGCCATTCTCATCCAGCCCAGGACTCGGCATGGGCATATTGAGATTTTGTTTCGAATACATCTCACCCAACATCAACGTGTCATCCATAATCCCGTGTGGGTTGAACATGTCTGCCGAAGCGCTTCTGTGCAACGCCGACAAAGGTGGCGAGTGGTCGGCAATGACGGGATCCGGATGACCCATGTGCGGCATGGGAGACACCGAACTGGGCATCATGGTATGGTCAACCATGGGAGAAGGCGACAAGAATGGCCCGTTGAATTGCTGTGGAGTGCCAAACTCAGATGTCGGCATGGGTGGTTGAGCTGGGTTTGACGGGAAGAAGCCCGGGCTGGCGAATTCCGAGGGTGAGGTGGCAGTGGCAGACATGGGCATCTGACGGAAGTCCATGCCGTACCCAGCAGAAGTATCGATCTGCAAGCTTGGCCCCAGAGGAGCCTGGACAGGATGTTGTGGCATGGGTTGGAAGAGGTTGTGCTGGTCAGGGGCTAGTTGAGGCGAAGGCTGTTGTATATGGAATGTTGGCATCGGTCCATGGAGCATCGAAAAGTCAATGGCAATGGGGACAGACCGACTCCTCTGTCGCTTGTGACCCGGATGCATCCGTCCAGGATGAAGGTGATGCTGTACGCCGAACTGTTCTTGAAACATTCCGACATGAGGAGGTTGAGGCCGTGCGAATTGGACGTTAGGTTGAGACGCAGGTCGCACAATTCCCATATTCGGGGAGACTGGCGCCGACGCAGGCATGGCATTAATGTCGAACGGGTTCAGCCGGTTCTGGAACGATTCGAGCGAGACTAGTTTGGCAAGTTGACCGCTCAGCACCTTGGGATGCCCACCTAGATGGTGAACCAAGATCTGAGAGGCTTGCTGGTCTTCGGTGAAGTCACCACACTGGTAAAAACCCCCAGAGTTGGATGAATCCATGAAGAAGTTTGGCGGCCTGTTCAACTCAATGACAAGCCCACTTGGTCTCGGCGGAGCCCCATTTGCGGCTGGCGCCGCGTCGCCGGGTTCCAGCTGGATGGACTTGATAAAGGCAAAGGGAAATTCGATCTTGTAACCGGCTGAGTCGTTGTTGATGTAGTAGGTGATGCATGCCTTGTCGGGGGAGTAGAAGATAACCAGATCCATGGCGTTCTGACCCACTCGACGCCAAGTACCGATGCTCAAAGACCGACAGGTAAAGTGTTGAATGACTGCATCTTTGGGTTAGAGAGAATGTTTGGCTGGTTCGATCGGGCCATAACATACCAACTTTGCCTTGGCCGGTCGGATCACCATTCATCAGCATGCCGCCGCCACCATACTGCGCCATTGGCCCACCAGGCCGCAGAAGCTGGCGAGGAAATGGTCTTCCAGATTCCATGGCCTGCATGGCCAGCAGCTGCCTCAAGGACTCTGGGATGTTGTCCAAATCCTCACCATTTTCTAAGCTTTTCTTCGCAAGCATCTTGATCTTTGCGCGTCGGCGACTACATCAGGCCGTCAGCATCAGACACGTCTCAATTGCAGTGAACCATCTGCCTACCTGTTCTGGAACCAAATCTGGACGGACCGTTCGGTCATGTTGATCTCTTGAGCGATACGTTCGCGAGTGGCAGCCGTAGGGGTGGGATTCTTGTTGAATTCCATCTCCAAGGTCACCAATTGCTCTTGCGTAGCCCTCTGTCTCTTTTGGTTTTTCTGTTGCTGGGTCAGAGTGCTCTTGCGAGGAGGACGGCGAGGCGCCGACGCGGACCCTTGAGTCGTGGAACTATTCGAGGCCGGCGTGGTTTGCGTGGGTTGACTGGCATTTGGGGAAGGAGTGGATTCGACCGAAATGTCGAGGTCTAGGTCAGTCGGGTCCGAGGACATCGAGTCCATTGGATCGACTTTGATGTCGGGGTTACCCATGGTGGAATGTTTTCGTCTCTCTGTTTTGGGGCCGTTGGGAAAAGGATTGAAATGCTCGTAGGCAAGGTGTGTAGGGAGGTTGACGTTGCTTCGTTAGGTGGGAAAGGGTGTTCGATGGCTGATCCGAGCAGCGAGATGGGAAATGACTTCGTAGCCCAGCAAGTTCGACGTCTCCAGTGCTCGCGCTGTTGAAAGGGGTGGGGGTTTGTGGGTAAAGACTGTATTGGAGCGAATGGAAAAATAGAAGCAAAGAGCTTAATGAATGTGGTTCGAGGGCCTTGAAGGAGTGAAAGGCGCACTCGACAGTTGATGATTGAACAACAAGAGAAGGAAAGAACGTGATACAGAGAGATAGAAGAATGGGAGAGAATGGGTCAAAAGCGACGGTGAGGATGGAAGGGGAAAAAAAAGAGAGGGAAAGACGAGACGACAAGAGCAGGGCATTAAGGGAGGCCGCGAGCCCAGTCAGGCGAAGGGCAGAGGAAGCGGTAAAGAAAGGCCACTGGTGCCAGCGGTGCCAGCGGCGGCTGCTGAGTGGTCATCCCAGGGCCACCAGGGCCTTCTGGGCCTCTCGGAGAGCCAGGAGCCAGGAACCATGCCCCCCCTTCCCTCTCCAAAACCCTTTGAGCCGAGTACCAATGCAGGTACAAGAAGGCCCCAAAAACTCAAAAGCCGCACGGGCCCCTGGTCGTGCTGGCGGGGCGGATCCTGGACGGGCTTAGTGCTCATTCTAGCTAGAAAGGGCGTCATTAGCGGCCCTGATGCCTCATTATCCTCCCAGAATCTGACATGGCGCTTTCTAAGCGTGCCAGGCAGCAGGACCACTATCCTCCAGCCGGTGTAGCCGCTCCTGCTAAAGGCCCAATGGTCGACCTGGTTTGTCCTGAGCGTCCAGGTGTCGCACTCGCTCCCCTGGAGGAGCTCGCCAGGGCCTCGTCTGACGCGCCCAAAACCCCCAAGGAACCCCCAAGGGAAGCACCACAGGATCAGTCAAAACACCCCATGTCACAACATGGATTCATGCTGTCCGTCTCACCCACCTGGTCATGCTGGTCGTGCCGTTGAAAACCGCGTCCAGGGATCCTGATTGGCTCCAAAGGGCTATTGTTCCGAGTGCTTGCCACAAAAAGGGAGTTGCACACAAAGCAGCCAGCTCATGAGTACTTAGGACGCCAGGAAGAAGCCTTTGATACAGGTATCCCGTGTGAGGGGATATTTCTGGTGCTAAGGGAACCGTTGGATTTCAATTCGACATCCACTGTAACTCTGCTGGCACGCGTCCGAGACACCATACTCACGCTTAACTGCAGCCGCCAGCACAGAAACGACTGCCAACTCTAGGAGGTCCCGAGCCTTTTCGTCAGCAGTGCACCCACCATCATTCGAGAAGCTGGGACGCCGGCCGCCTTTGTTGTCCTGAGTACCGAGCAGAGAACCCTAGCAACCTATCGAGCTCTCTCCTCGTATTCCATAGGCAAGGCCGTAGCCCAGGTCGACTCCGATCGACCATTCAAACCAGGTCATGGGATGCTTCTCGAAACAATTCGTGCGGAGCCCATCTCGTCTGTGCCCCATGCTGATCACCTTTGATTCGTGTAGTCAGTGCACCGTTACGACGGCACCAATAATGCAGACAAACGAACTCAGGTTCTTCAGGCGTGTGTACAAGATCCACGAGAAGATCCATGATTGGCCACTCTGGGCAACGCCTTCATCTCTGGTGAGCACCATGATGGCGGCTATGATTCGCCACAGAACAATCGCAAATGCTTCTACCAAGTAGGCTGCCCAAGGTCGTCATGATGCACACTGATCAAGTCCGAGCTGCTCAGGCCAGCAGTGGCGCCTCGTCCAGCATCGACGAGCCAGCTGTCTCACACATTGCATTGGACAGCCTGGTGAGCCTAACCGTCGACAGACAAGTCAGTGGGATGCAGGAGAAGCGAAACAAAATGCCTACTTGTACGCCAAAGATGGTCTCACAATCATATGTGTTGTAACCCTGGGCAAAGTGCTTGTCGTTCAAGCATTGATGCACTTGGTCAGACGGCTCGGATGAAGACATGGGGTGTTGCACATGCCAGGAGCTATGGGCTGATTCTCCGCAGCATCCGAGCCGGCAGAGTACTTCCAGCCAGTCCACGGATTTTTTTTTTTTGGTTACTACCAAGTAAAATATCCTCTATTCGGGTCTCAAAGGCCCGAGTTCGCCACACTGATTTATTTTTCCGGAGAACGGGCGGGTAATGGAAGCCTCGTTGGTCGCAATAAATCCTCTAGTCTGAACTTGGTTGATGATATATATTTCTCACAGATCATGTTGCCTGAACACACCGTACTGTGCTCCGTACAGGGACGAGGGAAAGATCAAACCTAGCAAGCCGTAGGAACCTTCGATAAGAACAGATAGGAGACGGAGGTTTGCGCAATTGAGACCAAACTAGTTGAGGCAGGAGAGCTGGAGCTTAGCGGTGGTCTGACGAGGCTAACTCTTGGGCGTGGCAAGTGTTCCAGATACGAGATGGCTATTCCGTAGAGGGCTGTTGGTACGAAGCTAGAGTTTTCTTCTCTTCGACGGTTGACTGTGGCACCACGCTGCCGAATCGCCCGCATTGAACAGCCCAAGTGCCCTAATCGATGAAGATCTAGTGCTGCATGAGAAATGTGTGGCTTTTCCCCCTTTACTCCGCATTATTGCAGTGACGCCTCCTTGGACTAATGTCAGGTACCCGGTCTCTGTCATTGGAGGACAAGCTCGCCAGGTCCCCGAGCAAAGTGGACCGTCCAGCAGAACTGCTAGGATCCAGGATGGAAGGGTGTCTGAAATGCTGATGAACTGACAACAGAGAGTGGAAAGAAAACTCTTCACCACGCGCGAAAAGTAGGCTGTATCCTGTATCCTCGGCGAAGGAGCTTTCTGTTGTCATGAGACACATGCTCCGTATCTTTTCGGCGACGACTGAGGCTTCGCAAGAGTGGAGGTAAAAGATGGTCCTTGTCTGGTACTGCAGGCGGATATCAGCCCACGGGAACTCACCACCGTCAGTTCTTGATACTCTGTACATCATCCAACCCCCCCGGCAAACTGGGCGGCAACTGAAGCCATGGAGAAGCAAGTCAACAAAGGCAGTGCGTGGTGTGAAACGAAACGGCACAGAAAGAATTCTCTCGAGGGGCTGATGCCGCAAATGGTGTCACGTTGGAGCGACTTCTTGGCAAGGGGCTTCGAATGCCCCAGCGGCGGTGTGTTTCCATCAAAACAACTTGAATCTTGTGTCTCTCTCATGCTGTTGGAGACCCGTGCACTACTTGTTACTCTGTGCTGGACCTAGTCTTAAACAAGTTTCCTCAGAGCTATGGCATGACTGGCGATCTTCGCTGGAACGCCAAATGGGAGTTGACTGCCACCGCGCCCACGGGCGGCGGATTCTTGCCCCCCTACTTAGGTATAGGTACATTGTCTCACCTGAAGCCCCATCTTATACCTAAAGCAGGCACTCCACTTAACCACACGGAGTACACCTAGTTGGAAGCGCTGAATCAATAGCACGGATCCCCCTGCCTGTGACAGCCGAAGCCGATGCATCCAAGGGAAGGATACGCCGAGGTGGCAATGGCGCACTAGGCAAACATCGACAAGATGGAAGTGGACAGTATGCCCTCCGAGTATATTCAATTCTAGCTGCTCGCTATATGCATGCCCTGTACCTAAGTCCATCCATGTCCCAAAGACCCTGTCCCATGTTCCGTCATACTTCAGTGCTCGTACTCCGTACATTTCATACTCATTTCTCATTCCCAAAAAAAAAGAAAAAGAAAAAACAAAAGCGTCTCAGGGGTATTTTTTGGTCGTCGCCCATATCTCTATCGTAGTAACTCCTGGCTCCTGCGCACCGCGCCAAAGCCCTTGCTGAACAATTCGCCAATATCGATAGACTTGCGCTGCTGCGACAGCTGTACTTCGCTCATTTCGTGACTGCTCCCGTTTGTTGGATTCTGTGGTCTCTTCGTACTGGGCCCTGCCCTGGTGCTGAGCCCCGAGTCGTTCCTCCTCATCTTCGGCTTTCGCCCATCCGTCATGTCGCGAGGCTTGTTGAGTAATTCCTGCACTTGTGCCTCCCGTTCAGCTTGTTCGGCAGCTGCCCGGGCCAGCTCCAGACTTGACTTTTTAGTCCCTCTGTCCCAACCCTGCTGCAAGAGATCTGCCGCAGCCTCCTCGAAGCGCTTGCGAACCTCTCTATCTCGCTCAAACCCTTGAAAGATGTCCACGTCGCTGGGCCAGACAACCGCGCTGACTGCTTTGATGGTCACTTCGAGCAGACAAACGGCCGAGATGGTCCACAGCAATGTAATCCACCAGAGAAGGTTGCGCCCGAACCGATCCAGCAGGGCGTGGTTGACGCTGTACACAGGGTTGAATGGGTAGATGCTCGACAGAATGAGGTTCCACAGCCACCACCCGCCCACTGACAGAAAGATCGCTACCGCTGCCATCACCGACTTGTTGTGCAATTCAATAAACTGCAGTTTCAAAGAGATGATGACGATACATGCAGTGAAGACTAGGGACCCGAACGCGTACAGCTCCTGGTCTCGGGTAAACCAGGCGAGCCCATATATGCCGTAGATCATGAAGTAGACAAGAACTGCCTCGCAAACCGCGAGTGTAGCCCACCTCAGATAAATCCAGAAGCTGAATCCACGATCTTGTTGGCCATAATTGTAAAGTTCCGGGACCGCCAGCAACGTGGATGCCGCCAAATCCTTCTCGAAGACGCCTAGAAAGATCACTGGAAGAGACGTGAACAGTGTGTTGAACATGGACAAACTCCAGGGCTCGTACAAGCTGGTGCCGGTGTAGCCGTTCCATCGCTGATACAGGGCTTGGGCACTGTAGAACATCATCTCTTTCCACAAAGTGCCGAGAAGATACTTGCAGATTCGAACATAGTTCCATCGCCCATGCACGAGCAGCAACTTCAACAAGAAGCGGAATTGCGCAATCGAATAGTCCGAAGTTCGCGTAGCTTGGAGGCCTTCCTTACCGGCAATGCCAATACCTAGATGCGCCTCCTGGATCATGGCAATATCGTTAGCTCCATCCCCAATAGCCAATGTTACAGAGCCCTTGACTTTGGTCCTGATGGTTCGAACAAGAGAAGCCTTCTGACTTGGGGACGCTCGACAACAAATTACAGAGTCAGCACGGATTGCGACATCTGTAAACAGCGCCCTCGTCGCGCGGTCTGCGTCGATAATAGTCAGAGTTAGTCCATCAACGACCAGTACCGAATGCGCCGTTTTCTCGTTGCAAATCTGGGCAAAAGCCTGGGCCATTCGATTGTGCAAGTCTCCGAGCTCGTGGTCAAGGACAATGACGGTAGAATAATCCTTGATCAATCGGCAGGAGTGGCCAATGTTAATGGCGGTCTCGCGTTTATCTCCAGTAAGCATCCACATCTTGATGCCGGCTCTGCGAAATCGATCAATAGCATCAGGAACCCCCTGCTGAAGTTTGTCTTCGATTGCGGTGGCTCCAAGCAATTCCAATTTCGCCTCGAGCAGTTCTGCTGCATGTTCAATCTTTTCTTGTCTGTCCACGATGCTTGTTGTAGCAGACAAATAGACTTCCTTCCAAGTTTTGTATTCATCTTCGGTCAGGTAACGATATGCATACAGGAGGGTTCTAAGGCCTTCAGTCGCGAAGTCATCAATGTGTTGGAAACAGCGTTCAAACACGGCATTCTCGTCTAGAATGAGGCTTTCGTCAACAAGATCTTCTGAATCATCGGCTTGCATGGATGCACGAGGTGTCGTCTGAGGCGAGTATTGCACTCTCCCACTGTAGCTTTCGGATTGGCGAGATGGAAGTTGCATGGAGGGTCGCGATGAGTAAAATTGAGAGCTTTTACGTCGTTGAGAAGTGCCTGCATCCTTCTCGCGCTCTTTCAACCAAAGATCAATGCTGTCACGCACGGTCCGAGAACGGTCGAAGGAGAAGCCACTGGGTCGTGGAGAAGCTGCGTACCCAGAGCTTGATCGCTGACTTAACTGAGTGCTGCGCCTCCTCAATGCTTCCTGCGCTTCAACGCTTTTCCGCTGACTGGCTCTCCTTTGCACGGCTTGCACATTCGAAGCTGCCAGATCTGCCAAACGCAGGAGCTGCCGAATAGTGCTATCGGCGCCCTTGCTGATCAGGCATATGCGTTGGTCGGGGAAGCGCACAACGACCGACATTCGCTTCCTAGAGCTTGAAAATTCAATAATGTCCAGCACTTCGTACTTTTCATAGACGGGAGAAGCCTCGTCCTCGTCAGAATAAGTCTTGATCGTGACTGTGTTAGAGTGTCGGTCAGTCACGATGTAGCCTAAGTCTTGCGCTGCTGTCACCAATGCCAGTTCATCCGGTGAAGCCGCCTGATAATCAATATTGCCTTCATCATCTTTCTCCGGGATACAAGTGTGACATAGAGCCAGTGAAAGAAGAAAAAATCGAGCTTTGCGGGCAAAGACAGTATAAGGCCGCCGGTAGATGTAGTCGAGGAGATCCTGTGTCTTGCCTGATTCCATGGTCATGTCGAGACCGTTTGAGGCTTTCCACTGTGTCTCTTCAGTGGTATATGCTTGTTTGATATGGTTGACAGTCCCAGCACCGGTTGATGCGGTTGATTTTCGCAGAGCCCTAGAAAGAGACATCCTCTGCTTCTCCGAACGAGGTTCCTTCCCTTTGCCGCCCCGCTTTTTGTGCCAGAGCTTCTCACGACCAGCTCCGTCTGCAGCTTCGTCTTGCAGGTCGAGATCATGCAACCACGAAGTGCCACCAATGCTCATTTTCCGAAACTTCATCGAGTTGTTCGTGAGCGTTCCAGTTTTGTCGGAGAAGATGTAGCTGACCTGCCCTAACTCTTCGTTGATTGTCGATGTATGCGGTTCCATTGGAGTGTCTGATTCGGGATCGTACATATCCACATCATTCATCAAGAACATCTGGGCCAACTTGACGATTTCAAGAGACACATACAAGCTCAGAGGCAGCATAGTGTTCAACATGATGATGAAGGAGGTTAAAACATGGCCAAAAGGCACTTTCGCGTCTTGAAGATACCACGATTTCTCCTCTGTCGTCCGACGCCAGATCTGGTAAGCCACCGTTAAGATTATAGCCATGAAGATGACGAGCGATGCCACGAAAATGACAACTCGATTGACCTTAGCCTGCAAGGTCGGTGCCTTTGTGCGAGGAGTCTGGTTGGCATTCATGCGAATCTTACATTCCTCGCCGGAATAGATGGCCAGACCGACTGCAGATGGAGTGTTGCGCAGCACGCTGCCACGATACAGGATCTCCGAGTTGGTCAGCGGGAGTGTTGTTCCGTTGATCGTTACCCTGCCATCGAATTTGTAGAGATCAAGGTTTGGATCCTCCACCGCGAAGTCGGCAGGCAGCCTGGCGATGGCATCTGGATCTTGACAAGCTGCACTCACTTCGGCCACAGGTTTCTTGGATTTGAGATTTGTTTCTCCATCGAGGCTTTTTGTTTCGACGTAAGCTGTGTCTGTGGGCTCATCCGTATGAAGTAGTATCAGGTCGGCAGGAATACCAGCATCTCTATTTAATAGTACAATGTCGCCAACTCGTACTTCGCTCCATGTCTTTTCCTGCCACTCTGTCTTGGCGGAGCCAGATGGAGCAATCCTGAGGACCTGAGTGACTCTTTCATTTTCCTCTTTGTCCAGGCGGTGTCTCCTGATGTCGTCATATCCTTCTTTGGCCATGGACAGAGCGACAAAGATAAGCAGGGGGATAATGGTGGTGTATGTGCCAGTCGTACTCAGACCGGGTATCATCTGGAGAATAGAGACGCACAGAAAATAAAAATTGGCAAGTTTTCCAAATTGGGCAACGAGCTGTTTGGGGACAAAGTTCCAGGGAGTGTAGCGACATGAGCAAATGGCGTTGCTGATGTAGGGCTTCCCAGTTCTTTCGTCGAGGGCGTGGTCGGCCTCTACTACATTCACCTTGATATGTCTTCCATCAATACTGGGTGGAATTGTGTGTGCTCGAATGATCCTATCCCGAAACTGGTGGTAGTTTTCCGTGAGCCGTTTGAGCAGGGTCGTTCGAGAATGATGTTGGGACATCCACCGTCGATACAATGGGAGCTCTAGGTCAGAATCCGAGAGGCGCACAGGTTTGGTCGAGCGCGCATCAGTTTCTTCTTCCGCCTCCTCGACGGTGATTGTGGTCGAGGGTGAATCAGTCTTTTGTGCGTCGGTGGCAGCCTTTGCAGGGTCCATCTCAAATGTACCCCCATTGTCCGAAGCCTGCTTCTGGATGTTCTGCGTGAAAAGCGAGCGTCTGAGGGAATAACCCCGATTGCGACCAACAGAAGGACTTTTGAGTATGCCAGCAGGGGGGCGAGCCGAAGTCTTCAACTCTTTCGCTTGTATATTTTGATCTTTATCCCGAGGGAATTCAATCGAGAAGCGGACTTTCGATGTATCGTTGGCAGGAGGGTTCTCCAAAGGTAGGCCCGCCGTGTTTTGCACCGAGTTTCTTCCTGTGGAATGATCTCTACCGGCCCTGAGTGAGTCCTGCTCACTACTTCCGTGGGTTTGACCGCCTGGGTCATTTGATCGGTCTACCGCCATAGCGAATGTCTTGAAGGATCTCTGGTAGAGGGCGCGAAGGGCTGAAATGGCTTGAATATTTCATCGGCGCAGTTCTTCCCGATAGTCGAATCTCATTGTTGGGGCAAAACGTAGGAGACGAAAAAGCTCCATGTAAAAGATTGGATTCGACGAAGGTCAACTTCACGTATTAGAAACAAAGACATTGCTCATAAGGGGATTGCGACGCAGAAAGGACGTGTCTCAGATTGCGCGGATGAATCTTGCGAGACAGCTGGGAGCGTTCGTAGAGGGGCGGTGGCAGTGCATAGAAATGTTGCGCAAGCAGCAAATTATCATTCAACGGATCTCCGTCTGGTTGAGTTTGCCAGGGCAAGCCAGGGCCAGGAACCCTCAAGGAACCCTCCAACAGCGTGGGCGGCGGGAACACCCTGGCGTCCCTACGTCAAAATTGTGGGCAAAACGGTGGGGTTTCAGAGGGCTGGATTGGGTGAGGATAGCCGTCAATGGGTAGCACTGCGTACAAGGTGGGCGTGATGTCACGCCCAGACGGCATATTACCGGGTTCACCACTCACCTCCCTCGCCGCAACAATTCCAAGCAACAGCACCACGTTCCCCGACCGCTTCTGCAAGCAATTGCCCAAACGAGTCTGGTTCACCCTGTTGGGTCAGATCCTATTCCGACGATCAACTTCAATCACTGACGGAATTCGAGAGAACTCCAACTCGGTACCCTGTACATGTGCCCGAATCAGACGTTCACAGTGCCCCCGCCCACGCGAGAACCTACGAGATGCAATGAGATCTCCATCCGACATCCTGTTCGGCGCAGTCGGCGGCCCGCTCCTGTCACAACGACATCGAAACCTCGAACACGACTCGCACACGTCCTTCACAACAATCATGCGCTCAACCCTCCTGTCCAGCCATGGACGAACCTGGTGGGAGAGACTCAGGTTACCCGTCTCTTGTATATGAAGTATGGCCCCAACTCAACCCACCTTTGACGATCGCCAACTCGGTCTCTTTGGCGAAGACAATATGGTGTTGTGCCGTAATCATTGGTCTAAGAGCGCTACTGCCACTCAGGAACTCTGGCGGAATAAAGAAATGTCGTTCAATCTTGGGCAGAACCTCCTTCTTTGAGTCCTGCAGCTTTACAGAGCATATCCACAGATCACGGTCGAGGAAGATGATTAGGTCCGAGCAAAGACCAACAATCTCTTTGACATCCCGAGCTGGAAGCTCCAGCGAGAAGGAGCGTGGGTGTTGAGTCTTAACAGCTTCTGAATTGATGGGCGAAACCGTCCAGCCAAGCACACAGATCTTAGACGAGCCACGTTGACTGAAAGTGCAAGCGACGACATTTGATTCGGAATCCTGTGCTAGGATCTGTGGAATAAGGTTCGCCGCAATAGACGCATCGAAACTAGGCGGCATATCCATTGGTAGAGTAACCACATGCTGCATGGTATCCCAGTCATGCAGCTGAAGTGAATGGTCGGTATTCAGTACCCCTAAGCTAGGTCCTAATCTGACCCAGTGCCCCCCAAGAGTTGAGCCATCGAGGCATTTCTGGCGAGCCTGCAGATTCCAGATAACGCGCTGAGTTTCGGTCGCTCCCAAGAGGTAGAGCCCACCATGACTGAAAAGCAGTTGCCGCAGCGGTCCAACCATATTGCATTGTAACACCACCTCGCCGCTATTCTGCTCAGTCTGAGCGCAGACACCAGTGAATCTTCGAACTATGACGCGACCTCCGCCATCTGCACTTGCAATCAGACCATTTTCAAAGGCGATTCTAGAGATGAAATGTCCATGCCCGTGGGAGTAGATCTCGGCATGGAATAGTCCCGTGCTGACCTCATATGCCACGACCGATCCATCATCGCGCCCGGCAAAAATGAGTTCTCCTGCCTCGTCAGGGCACATGGTCGTGATGGAGATAATATCGCCATTGGTACCGACCACAGGAGCGCCTAGGGCCCCGGCGCTGCTCGTACTGGCGTCTCCTTTTGTCGGTTGATGTACGAGGGCGCTTGGCTCCCAGACCTTTGTTCTCGAATAACGGATATCGACAATAAGAAGCCCATCTCCAGTGAAAGCCAACTCTCTAACATCATCCAGGCCACTTTTTATCGAGTACAACAAGCAAAGAGTCTCGAAATCCCAAACATGGATCGTGCCACGGTAGTTTCCAGACCCTAGCGTACGGCCATCGGGCGTTGCAGCAAGTGAATATGCATCGCCCTCAACTTTCACTAGCTCTTTCTGCGCCCAAGCGTCGTAAATCGCAAGCTCTCCATCTTGGTATGCCACGGCCAAGAGATTCAGCTCTGGATTGGGATTGAACAGCGCTGTCTGCACCGAAATATTCCGCGCTTTTGACCCTACGTCTCTGCCGCAAAGGCCGAGAACAGTATTGTCCTCGAGGCTGCACAGATGTATTGGCCTCCCTCGGTACAACAATGCGACCATAGACTGGTCAGGGGAGATGGCAGCCGCCAAAGGTGTTTGATGACGCAATGCGAGTTCTTGATGCTCTGTATTTCGAGCAGTGAGAGGTCTGCGACAATGTCCAAGAACATCGGCCACATCTGCCTCTTGTGAAGACCTCCAACGAACAACTTGGCTCGACGTTGTCACGCCGAGGAGCTCTTTTTGGTTGACCGAAAATTTCAGAGAGACGCATGGTATCTGCAAAGGTAATATGTCCAGCAACTCGCCACCCATTGACCAGACACAAATAGAACGAGAGCTGGCAGAAGCGAACCTCGTATCAGAGGAAGCAAAGGCCAACAGTCTCACTGCCGTGGGTGGCTTTGCTGTCACACCCGGCACACTTGAGGTAGACTCCTCCCAATTCTTATGCTGCACCGACAATCTCTCTTGACAAGTGGATTGGTCGTACACAGTGACCACACCGCTCTTCATACCGATCGCAAAAACGTTCGCACCAGTAGCTAGGGAAATGGCCCAGCTGTCTCTATATTCGATGGTAGAAATGCAATCATCCCAAGTCTCAGAAGCCGAGCCGACACATTCGAGCCATTTAGGACCCCTTCGGACGGTTTGGAAGAGACGCGATTGTTTAGGTGCAATGGATGGTATTAGAGAATGAATGGAGCTTGGATGACTCCGAAGGTTATGACCGAATTTGGTGACCACTCTCATTATATCCGTGGCCCAATCGTCTAGAGTTTTGGAATATTCGCAAAGCTGCAACTTACGATCTCCTCGACTTTTGAGGAAACCCTTGAAGTTTTTGGCTGCTCGAATCAAAGGATATAGCGACGGTTGCTCCATGGCAATATGTTCAATCCAGGTCAAGGCTTTGGTGGATAAAAAGTTGGACACGTCTTTTAGCAACCGGTCCGACGTCGATGGAGAAGCAGCAAAATGCTCCGAGAATGCACTGCTGGCATAATTGGCAAACACGCTTCGACTTCGCAGCCTCCCATATTCACTGCCTCCAAGATGTCGGCCGCGAGACGCCGACATCTCCTTTCCAAGGCATTCGAGACACGTTGTTGCCAGTCTCTCGTGCCCAGCGCGGTGCGTAACTTCGAACAAGGATTCCAAAACCTCAAGGAGATACTCACGTGCCGTTGCGTGCACTAGTTGCACACGGCCGTCATTGTCAATAAAAAGCAACCCGTTGCAAGGACCTTCAATGAGCGCTCTCAGGTTTGGAACTCTGCACCCCTCATACTCATTCAAGGCAACCATGAGTTCTTCCAACTTGAGAGGTCGCATGGCGCATGTTGACCAAATCAGCACTGCTTTTGCAACCTCACGTTCGCCCTGTCGCTTCGACCGGAGCAAAGATTGAACAGATCTTTCGTAAAAGGCCGACATCCCGAGAGGAACCTCTTCGAAGATCTGGGCTATGGAGGTTTCCGAATAGACCGCTTCAAGCTCTTGGGTGACCAAAGTCAGCCACAGAAAGGAGTCATTGGCCTTTGCCAGCAATCTCTCGACCAGGGCATTCCGCTTAGCGGGATCATCCACCGGGAAATAATCGAGGCGAGAGTTGAGATAAAGCCTCATGTCAGACTGCGTATTGACCGACTGGATTGAATCCATAGTTTTGTGGATACTGCTGTCCAACCGTCTGAAGAGAGCTTCGAGTATTGGGGTTTGACGGCCGGTCATGAATATCCGGAGATCAAACAAGCAGTCAATCGTATTAAGCTTCAGGAACAACTTCTCCACCTCGGCGCATTCGTCTACTCCATCAATGACCCAATATTGAGGCCGCCGGATCTCGGACTTCAGGATGAGATTGACGAAAAACTTTCTCCAAACGGCACCATCATCGTCCTCGTCGAAGGTACCCCTCGACTCTTGCATCGTTATAAGCGCCTCCCTTATATTTGGAGCAATTTCAGCCATTTGAAAGGCCAATGAAAGCAACATCGGGCTGATTCGCGTGTTTGCTCTCTCGCCTGTCCGAAAGAAATGGTATGAACAGTCGCGCCTTTGAGACTGCAGATGTGTGATAACGTGGGCGGCACACACTGATTTTCCTGCTCCGGCTTTCCCACTTAACCAAAATATACTGCAGCGACCGTTCATGGACTTTACTAGCCGGTTCTGCACTGTAGGCGAGCGAGACGGTCCTTCTGCCACATGAGGACTTTCTCGAGTACCATCCCGCCACATTTGAAATACACGCCGAGCCTCTAACCATGTGCAAGACTCCTCTGTTTGTTTGTCTCGGTGCTGGTCGAGGTCAGATTGCGGCGAATGGCCGATATTCAGATATGTTGCAATGGACTCCATCTGTCCTGCCTTGTATTGCAACGCGTCCTGACGAGATTCTGAAGTCAAACTGTCCGTTATCGTCAGGAATGTGTTTCGAAGGGTTACGTAATTCTCGTCTTGTGGACTGTCAAATTTGCAGATCTCCCGGTGGTCTGCAAAGATCATATTAACTTCTTCGCCGTCGTAGCCGAGGACCGCCGAATCTTGCTTTACAATCAGATGCGACCTGACCATCCCTCGAGTCTCATAGAAGCTCCACAAGCGCAGCTTGCCCGGGTGAGCTACACTTCTGAAGTCGTCATTAATCGCCTGCAAAGAACTGGAGTTTCGACGGAGGTCTTCAACGTAACCTTTCTCGCAGCCCACAAGGTCAAGAAACCCGTTGAGCCGTTCTGCCGCGATAGACCCTCGATGAGGTGTTGCCAGAAAAACTATGCATTTGATACGATTTAGAATCGCCTTTCCTTGATGATGCGCCAGCAGGTAAGCCTTTTTGATGACCAATCCACCCATAGAATGACCGATAAGGACGATGGGGGTGTGCTGTTCTCTCCTTAGATATGGTGAGTTCTCAAGTTGATGAAGGAGATCTCGTCCAAAGTCATGCAAAGTGAGTTGGCTTGCTTTGGGGGTCAGCCAGTCGTTTGCGTAACCAAATGAAGACGTCCGCACTCGATCTTTCAAGTCGTCGTCAGCGGCGATCCATTCCTTGGGCCAGAACAATCTCAAGTTCTCGTTTTTGCACCATGTTTTGACTGAGCCACCTCTTAGACCATGGACGAACACAAAATCGACTTGAGGCTCTGCAGGGGAGTATAAAGGCGTCAATCCTCGTGGGTTGCTCCCCGCCCTTTGCCTCACCTGTTTGCCCTCGGAAGATCTGTATGGCAGCATCCCAAACAGCTTCTTTGGAGAGGAGGCTACTTCCCATTGCATGTCATCTTTGTTGCGGCTCCTTCCATGCGACGCCTGCCCGGAGTCCATCGAGGATGGGACCAGAGCGAAATAAGCGAAAATGTAAGCGAGTGCTAAAGATGCAAACCACTAAAATACATGACCATCAATACACGATGCATATGATCTTGAGCACGTTGAGAACATCGGGGAAACAGAAGAGCGCTTTTAGAAATGCCTGATTCTTTCAAAGAAAGCGGATGGCGCCTTCGTCCATGGTCGATGGCAAGACGACCAGGCGCGTGCGAACCATTTGTTCGACCCCATAAGCCCACCAGCCACGACCGTTCAATCAATGGGGTACCCAGCGCTGCCCCCCATGTAGCGCTTACCGACAATAGTGCCTGATGGTCGAAATACAGAGACTACCACGGACAGGATTCCAATCACGTAGCCTGTCGATGGCAGCTATCGAGCGCTCGATGAGATAACAAATGAATTCAAACACAGTGGTTCTGTGGAACCGCGTGAATCTGGAGGTCCTTATGGTGACTTACCTCGTAAATGGCTACTTCGAATCGAGAGAGAATTATGCACTGGGCATGTCAACCGCCTGGGGAAGTCCCTAAGCCGTCACTCCACTCTCCATGCGAGGAGAATCCACTAGGCAACCGGTTGGTACAGTATGTGACTGGGTGCGATGCCCCAACTAAGAAGGATCCTGCAGAAGATCGACGATGGCGGTGCAATCTTTGGGCGCCAACTCCGCCAACAAGTTTCAGGTACTGGGGTTCCACAATGCAGGCATCTAGCGTCGAAAGCCTTGCAACTGAGGATGGGTAGATCAAGACAGAAACAGCTTCGGTAAAGAGTCAAGGGCTGAGTCGACTTTTGGTACTGCGTGAACTAACCGTGCATAGCTTGACAAGTCTATATTGTCGCCAGAGTTTGAACGCCCTTCTATACCCAAGAAAGAAAAGGACGAGGGGACAGAGGCAGATCGAAATGTCCTGTCAGGTACCTTCAGCACCATGAAGCTCCCTGAGAACCTACTAATGGCTCAATCATAGCACTCCCCAAAGCGACCCGAGTTATTTGGTCAACAACGTACAGAGCCTTGTTCTGGCCATCTGCACGAAAATCGACACTGAAGACCCAAATGGCAACAAGAAATCCTACTTCGTGAAGGGGAGTGGAGCACTCACATGAGTCAGCTCGCGCCTCATATGCTGATTCGGAGGCGGTAAGGTCTATACGACGACCAAGTCCCAAGCACAGGCAATGGAAGAATCCCTGTCCACGAAGGCCTTGCAGGCTGTCATCCCAGACAATGTGCCACGGCCTATTGCTTTGGGCGTCCTCACGCAAGCCAAAAGCAAACATTCTCCATCGCCGTGTTCAAAGACCTCAAAGAAGACTTGGAAGTGCCACCCATACAAGCTCTGGCTTCTGTTATCGCCAACTTGCACAACTCGATCTCCCCGGACGGTAAATTCGGTTTCCAGGTGCCGACCTCCCAATCACAGCAGCTAGAGAATACCTGGTGTGACACATGGGAAGAGTTCTGCGTCCGAGCCTTTCGCAACACGGTCAAACTCGAGCAAGAGGTTCAAGGGGCAAACGAGGATCTGCACTGCTGGCAGATGAAATGTGCGCCAAGGTAATCCCAAGACTGCTTCGCCCAATGGAGACAGCAGGGCGGAAGCCGAAGCCTACTTTCCTGCACGGGGACTTGTGGCATGGCAATATCGGAATCGACCTTGTGACCGACCAGGTGGTGCTGTACGATTGCTGTGCTTTCTACGGCCATCATGAATGTGAGTGGACTCCCAGCAAAAGAATCTGACGGCCTCTCCAAGTTGCCATCTATCTTCACAGTTATACCACGCTGATATATAGTACTGCCGACATATCATATCTGACATACACTTATGCTCCTTCACTTATATATACACATATCTGCGCCCTCGCTGACTTATTCACTTGGCCAGACGACCTGGGCATGTTCCGCGCATCGCGCTACCGGACATCACGAGCGCATATACGCGCGTACAACCAACTGGTCGGATTCTCCGACCCGAGCGAAGATTTCGACGACCGCAACGCCCTGTATGCGCTCCGGGTCGACCTCGAGGTGTCGTGCGGGTGGCCCGCGAACAAGAGGATGAGGCAGCTCGCGATGCAGGAGATGAGGCGGCTGGTGGAGAAGTATCCCGCGGGGTTTGAGGGGTGGCAAGAGGAGGAGAAGGGGAGTTAGATCTACCATCAATGACTGGGATCAATATATAACGCGATATAGAGTGATGATCTCCTCGGGAATAAGAGAGAAAGCTTGGAACGATGCAGTCAAATCCGTTGGAGGCCGGTGATCGGCAATCTCGTCAACATAGCTTGTCATGATTGGGTTTTCTAAATATCAAAACCATGATCCACAGCATCCGTCCCAAAGGCCCACATTCACAAGGAGGAAGGGAGTACAGTTATTAGTAGCCCGAGCGTGAGTCGTGTAATATGTATATAGATGACACCCTCGGGCTCGAAACTTTGGCAAGCTCTTCTACACTGGCACTGTCAGGCTCGCTGAGTTAGACGAATGATCCTGTTGCCACTTCCTGTCCTCTTTCGATCTGAAATCTCTAACCAGTCAAAGTCAGTTTGAATAAAAATGTCTTCGCTATCGACTTGGTCGGCCGACGAAACATATGCTCCGTATGTTGTGATCAACGGGCGCGGAGGCAGGGACACGGGTCTCGGCCGACAGAATCTGCGCCCCCCTATTCCACCTACCGGACGCCGAAGGGCGGATGTCCTCCTTCTCCCGCCCTCGGACGAGGAACGATGGCTAGGAAACCCCGGAGATACATACTGCAGTGGTCCGCAGAAGGCACAAGACGTTGGAAACTCAAGGGCAGGCTTGGTGGTTCGATGTCAAAGAGGCACCGAATTGGCGCCGAAGAGGCGAAAGGAGGCCAACTTACCTAATACCTAGCCTTGCTGCGCAGGTAGGTAAGTAGGTATGTACGAGGTAATATTACCGAGCACAGAGTACGAGGTACCCTCGTATTTCTCAGCGAAGGCGAGATTCGGACGAAGGATCGGGCGGAGATTCTCCACTTCGACTATTCCTCCGGACAAGCTACCACCATCTGTAGGTACCGAGTAGGTTCAATCGACTGACAAGCACCACAGGGGCAAGCAAGGGGCAAGTAGGTAAGCAACTTGCATCGTCATCATCACCATCTCAGCCTTGTTGTCCCTGACGGGTTCCCAACATAATGAGCGAGCTAGCTGGCCGGACCCCGTCCCACTCTTGCTGACAGATCAGACGGTCAATGTCCTGGCGAGCTGGTCACCGCTGGTCTAATGTTTTCGACCAGAGAAAGCGTGCTCACCTCGCACGAGTTCGCATGGATCTCGTCCTAAAGCCTCGCCCTAAGAATTGGATATAAGGACGGGATAGTTTCTCGCAAACACATCGAGATAGATGCACCACCACTCGCCGGATTGTATCCCAAAGAAAGAAAGCGGAATAAAGCGAGTCAGGAGGACAAGGACGAGGACAGAATGGCCATCCACGACCAAACGACGACCACGAACCAGACTTCCTCGTCTTCACTGCATGGGAAAGTCGCCTTGATCACGGGCGGTTCTCGAGGGGTGAGTTGAGTATCTATCTATCCCATCCGATCCTCTCATCGTCTTGCCAGCTGATGAGAGACTCCTCCTGTTTGTTCGACCTGGATTTCTTTGCACACCACCCACATCTTCTAACTAACTACTCCGAGATTGTTTTTGATAAGAATAGATCGGCGCCGCAATCGCACTCCAATTCGCCCGCAAAGGCATCGCCGCCATCGCAATAACATACATCTCTAACGCCAAGGCGGCCGAGGAGACCTTGTCCAAATGCCGCTCCGTGTCTCCCGATCTCAAAACGGCGGCTGTTCAAGCCGACATCCTTGATCCGTCCATCGGTCCGAATCTCATTCCAAAAGTGCTCAAAGAGCTGAGGACGGACAGGATCGACATCGTCGTCAACAACGCCGCCCTCATCAACGACCTGAGTCTGATTCAGCCTTTTGCGGACACCACGGCCGAGGTCTTCGGAAAGACAATGCAGGGCAACGTCTTTGCGCCCATCAGCATTATCAATTCCGCATTACCTCACTTCCCGCCCAAGGGGGGTAGGGTGATAAACATCTCAAGTGTTTCAAGCAAGCTGGCGAACCCTGATCCGGTCTTGACGTACGGAGCGTCCAAAGCCGCGTTGGATAGCATCACACGATCACTGGCAAGTCTCTTGGGCATGAAGACCGGCGCGACGTATAACAGTGTGTCTGTGGGACCAACTAGCACGGATACGGTGCAGGGCATAATCAAGGAATTCGGGGAGCCGTGGATCGAGGAGACAACCAAGCTAATCACGGCCGAGAAAAGATTGGCTGAGCCCGAGGATATCGCCTTCGTTGTTGGCTTTCTCGCAAGTGACGAAGCGAGGTGGATCAATGGGGCCCATATCATGGCAAATGGAGGAAATAAGGAATTGCTGGCGCTGCAGGGATAGAGAACCTCTTGGAAATTTGCAAAGGAAAGCTCAAATCTCCATGACAGCTAGATAGAAGAGCACACCAGACCATAAATGTACAGCTCCCAGAGTAGACTCCTGATCCTTCCTGCTTCCTCGTAATCAAGCAATGTCACAGGGACCAGCACCTGCTCTGTCCCGAGCCGCTGCGTGCTTCGTCATGTCGAGAATTTCAGACGAGCATGCGGCGAGCGTTGTAGAACATGACACTAGGATGTTTCTGAAATGTTCAAGCTGTAGGAGGAGATCCTGACGAGTTCCGGCCGCAGGGAGATCACCAAGCCTATGTGTCTTTGCGAGCTCTTTGGACACCTTGCCCTGTGTTTTCTCCAGTGCAGGAGAGTGTCTCTTGTGTTGTAGCCACCCGACGATGATGGCCCTCGGGGTTTTCGATGTCTCAGCAATTGCGCTTAGACTGACATCTTGCTGCTGGTCAGTCCCGGAAATGGGCGTGGCCGGATCATCTTCCCTGCAAGACATCGACTGGCCGAGAGTTCCTATTGCAGCATGGAGCCTACGCCTTGGACAACTCTTGCATGGTGGTGCAATTTCAATCTCCGAAGCATTTGCCCATCGCTTTGCATCTCTGGCAGGTAACACTCCCCTGGACAATAGCCTATCGCAAAGCGGGGTCTTGGTGTCCCTTTCGGTAGAGGACCAATCCCAATTTTTCTGGTCCTGTGTCGTTTCGGTGGCACAGATCAGATCGACCCACTCATATAAGGGAAGGGCTGAGGCAAGGGTGGAAGCCCCCATTGTAGCCGCTTAGTCCGAGGATAGTGATGAGCGAAGGATCGATAGTTCACGAAACCACGGGGTGCTGGCGTCGCAGTAGATGGAGGTGTGTGGTAGGGGATGGCGTTCTGACAGCGAAAGTGCTGAGCGTTGTTGTTGTTATTGAGTGTGGTTCGCTAGTGGTTATGATGAGTGATTGATATAGCGTAAAGACGTGCAACGAACAGAAATGTAATTAACATGAAACGACTGATGTTGGAAAAAGTACTATGCTGAGCTGGCCAAAGAGAAGAAGTTGGAGGGAAATAAGGAAGCAGAAGTGTGTTTGCTGTAAAGGAAGATTTTGTTTGCAGGACCTAAATGTGAAGAGGCAAGAGCGGCCAGAGCAAGAAAATAAAAAGGAAGGGCAGTCGAAGATGAGAGTCTCTTGGTCAATAGGAGTTGCCGCCAAATACTCCTGTGCTGAGTCGGGACATTTCCAACTTGATGTCCCTGTTTGGTGAAGTCGGAGAGTAGAAATACAAAGAGTCCTGAAGCATACCTACCTTTGACCCGGAGCCAGAAAATCTACAATCGTCCCAGTTTCCATCTTGCAATCCGGGACTGGACATCTTCCCATGGTATTTGCCTGACCTTCTTCCCGGTCAAGTCTTCCCCCTCTTGGATGACCACCGTTGGTGCGCCGGTACCATGGCCCCTATTGTCTACCTTCCCTGTGAAGATTTGCGTGGCGACCCGTCTCAAATCGGCTACTGTCAGAGCATCTATTTTTTCGCACATTTCCTTGACGCCAACTTTTCGACCATGAACCTGAACTTGTCGGCCCAGGTCCTCCAATTCAACCAGTCTCGACTCGAGGTTCATCAGAAGGCTAAATCGCAGTTGGTTTTTGGCTCGGTTGACTTCTGCAATGTTCAAACTGGAGAAGCCGGAATCCAACGTGAGCGCTTGTAGTTCGCGGCAAATTACGTCCACCATGTGACCGACTCGACCGGGCTCACAAGCTCCGGCGATCCCGAAGAGACCGCTGTCAGTATAGCTGTGGTTGAAAGCCACGCAGCTCTCGACCCATCCGTGCTGATTGAGAACATTCGTGTAGAGTCGAGAATACATTCCTTTACCAGGACCGCCGGCAGAAAATGACCCACCACCTCCTAGCAGAGTCTGTAGCGTCGCTTGGGCGTAGATATCTTCTGAAGAAATGGGCACACCTTCAAATGCGATATGGACGTAAGAGAGAGGGATCGTAAACTTGTTTGGCGGCGGGGGTAGCGTGGGCAGCGCTAGGTAGCCTCCCGTGTAGTGAGACGGCATTGTGAGAAGAGATACAGGAGGAGGTTGGATTAGAGAGGGATCAAGAGGTGATACGGTTGCTTGATGCGGCGCGGAGGTGGAGAAGCTGTTGAACCCGGGAATCTTCGACAAAAGCCTGCTTGTGGGAGATTGTGGTGGTGGTGGAGGCTGCTGTTGTGTATTTGTCTGCGGTGAGTTTGGTTCAGTAGATTGCGATGTATGTTGTGATAGTGAGGGTGTTTCAGATTTTGCCATATCCCCAAAATATTTCTCGGTCAAGCGAACAGCTTCGTCGTGCTGAATGCCGGCGAAAGCGACCACTATCCGCTCCGGCCTGTAGAAGGTATTTCGATACTTCTCAATCAGGCCCTTGGTGATGTAAGGCAGTCTCTCGCGGGGACACAAAAGAGGGTGTCCCAACGTGTTATCCTTGTATGCGGCCATGTGCAATAATTCGGGAATGATCAAATCTGGTTTGGCCCATATTTCCTGGATCTCATACTCGGCGGTTTCCAGCTGCTGTGCCACCTCTTCATCTGTAATTAAAGGATCTCGAATCGTTTCTGCGAGCAGGGCGATCGTGTCAGGGACGCCGGTATTGAAAGTGGCCGACTGATACATCAATGCCTCTCTGGAAGATGCACACTGAATGTTTCCGCCCAGCGATTCCAAGGCCTCTAACATCTGGTCTGCAGTCCTCGACTTTGTCGACTTGAAGGCCAGACGGTCCACGATATGACTGACACCCCGTAGAGATTCGTCCTCATATCGAGACCCGGCATCAAGGTAGACGCCCACGCCTGAGAAGGGACCCGGTAGTGATTCGGTAGCGACTCGAACGCCATTGGGTAACTGTGTGATGTGATCTAATTCAACCGGATCCTGAGAGGATGCGGTGGTCAGACAATTGTCGTCTGCTTATCAACGGAGGGAGATGCGGACGTACTTTGTGCAGAGGATCTCTGATGGTGGCATAGTTCCTCGCCACGGACCTTGAGGCCTGGGTGGATAGCCTCGCATTGCGCAGAGCTCTTACCGCTGCAGTGCGCATGCTGGGCGGTGTGCGAGGGTGCGGAGGGAAGAAGAAGGATAGATTGAGGTGGCCGTTGTTCGAGGTCAAAGCGACCGAGAAAATGAATGTCCGCAGGCAAATTGAGCAAGATGATCGCGCGGCGAGCCGCCAGCTGCGTGGAGGGTTTTGTGGAGATAGGGCCACTAGGCTAGACCGGGCAGACCAGGTGGCCAACAAGCAACATGGTTACAAGTACGAGGTAAGGCTGTCACCCAGTCTGACGATAGCAGAGGATGAGAATGGACAAGGGGACTGCCTGATTGAGATGGGGAGGCGATCACGGGTGTGCTGGATGTTGGTGGTTCTGGTGGTTCTCGTGGTCAGCCGCAGGGACCCCCAAGTGACATGTATGCAGGCGACTTGATACGTATATGACCGATGACATCGACAGCCACCTCCTCGACCAGATCAAGCGAACTGCCTGCGCTGCCTGCGCTGCCTGCGCTCGCTGCGACTCCAGAGTCCAGAGTCCAGAGTCCAGAGTCTAGACTGTGTTACTACTTCCTCTCGTCTCCCTGCGCTTTAGGGATTCCTCCCTATCAATCCCCTCTTGTGTCTCGAGTATCTGTGATGACCATATCCATTTAATCCATTTAATCCATTTAATCCATTTAATCCATTTAATCCATTTAATCCATTTAATCCATTTAATCCATTTAATCCATTTAATCCATTTAATCCATTTTAAATTCAATTCCTGCATTGCTCCCTTGTAGGCGTCGTGCCGCCAATTGACGCCGCTCTGAATTGGGGCCACCAGGCCTGCGCGACAACACGAACCACCACCCCCCCTAAAAGTGCTTGGGGTCCAAGAACATCCCTGCTCAACTGCTGTGCCTTTCCCGCTGACTTGCGGCCTGCCTGTCAAACTGTGGGCACAGCCTACATCATATTGCTACGTACAGTCCACCATTTGTTTACAAAAGTTAGCAGGACCTTTGCCCTGCCTCTTGCTCGAGCCTCGAGCCCAGAGTTTGCGCCTCAGCAAAGGCGCGTGTTGCAGATTCATCTGACAGAGTTGTCGACACGAAAGACCGACCGACTTTGTGTTGTTGTTGCCGTTGTCATTGCCATTGCCGTTGTTGCTCACTGCCGCCCGTTGCCGCCTGTTCCTGTAGCGCCGCGTTCCTGCCCTCAGTTACTCGTCCTCACCTTGCCCAGTCTGAGAAACGCAGTCTCGATCAGTCCTCTTGAGCTTCGCCTCCTTTCCCATGATCTCACCGTCTGCCGCTGTGAGCTCACCAGCGGCAGCCGATCCGACTGTCAACAGAACCACATCTGCAAGGCGCCGAGGTCTGAGTTACCTGCGTGCTCTTTCGCACAATCGTTCATCGGGTGGAACAAGTCCGAACGAGCCCTCCCGCTCGCCTAGGCACTATTTCCAGAGATCCCTCAGTTACAACGACAATCGACCTGATCCTATCACGAGTCGACGACGGAGCACTTCTCGACCTAACGAACCTACAACCATCCTTTCCTCAGACCCGCGTCAGGTCGGCACAAGGAGTCCATCCCCTCAGGTCCACCAGGAACCGCCTGCCGACCAGTCTGCACCCACGAATACAGAGGATATGGCGCGACATCGGTCATCCACGTCAAGGAGGACAGCGAGCAATATCCCTCGGGCCGATCCCTCGACAGCAGAGGCGTCAGATTCTGTCTCGAGACCTACCCAAGCAAGAACCGGTCACACGACTACTTCGGGCACAAAAGGAGAGTCACAGGAAGGAGAGACGAAGCAACATTTACCTACCATTCGTTTCTTCCCTCACCAGGAGGTCAGGAATGGGAGGCCGTCTCTCCACTTCTCGCCAATCACGAGAACCTTGCCCAGTGAGCATTCTATCATCAGAGTCGGCCGCTATTCCGAGCGTGAAGGTGTTCCTTCGACCAACCCTACTGGTCCCTCCGATGCCCCTGTTGGCTTCAAGTCAAAAGTCGTCAGTCGAAAACATTGCGAGTTCAGTTTCCTAGACGGTCAATGGCAGATCAAAGACGCCGCATCTTCCTCCGGCACCTTCCTGAATCACATCAGGTTGAGCCAGCCAAATACCGAGTCCAGGTTATTTCCAATCAAAGATGGAGATATCGTCCAACTGGGCATTGATTTCCGTGGCGGAGAGGAAATGATCTTTCGCTGTGTCAAAATCCGCATCGAATGCAACCGGGCGTGGCAAAAGAAGCCCAACAATTTCAAGTATGTCGCCTCCTCTCGAGGGCTTGATAGCGGAAACTGACGTGTTGAAACAGCAAAAGCAGGCACCAACAACTACAGAGTCTCGCAAAGGACCAACCCTCGGCAGACACCAATAGTGGAGAATGTTCGATTTGTCTAGGCTCTGTCCTGGTATGTCTCACGAGACCCGCGTACTTGGCCCTCGCTAACATCCTTGTCAGCCCTGTCAAGCGTTGTTTGTTGCTCCATGCGCCCATGTCTGGCATTACAAATGTATTCGGCCTTTGCTCGAAGGCAAAAACAGTGTCTACCCACAGTTTCAATGTCCAAATTGCAGAGCGTATTCCGACCTGACTGCAGATGTCGACCTTGCTCAATCTGATATAGACGAGTGGCTGGAGAATACTGATGATCAAGAGAACCAACCCGCGGAGGCAGGTACCGATGCCACCATCGAAGCAAGTCATTCGTCAGATGCACACACCAACGGCCAAGTAACAGGCGAACCAGAATCCGCCAGGGCGGCCGTGCCCAACTCAAGCGTGAATGGCGACGACGTTCAAGTGGAACGACCCTCTGATAATCCTCCCGTCACTATATCTCAGTCCGAAATCAATAACGATGAAAATACTTCTCCGGCATCTGCGAGAGCCTCGGGACTTTTGGCACGTAGGCAAGCTACTAACCCGCGGTCGTCCGAGCTTTCAATGAACGGCAGCATCGATATGCCTGAGCAACCGGTTGAGGACGAGATGCATGGGCAGCTCGAACAGCAACGTACCCACACACAAACCCCGGATCCCGACCATGTTGTCGTTGTAGAAGGACCATTAACACCCAGAAATAATGCCGGACCATTTGTTTTTGACGGTAGTGCCGGACAGTCGGATGCGAGACAGTTGACGGTACCTATTAGGACAAATGTTACTGATGGAAATCGTTCGTCATGAATTTGTTGAGGTCCAATTCTGAAGGAGCTCCTGAAGATTCTTGTCCGAGTAGGGTGTAGAAGCATGGAGGTGACGGCATCAAATCGATGCTCCGGCAACCATGGATGGAACATGAAGACAGGGTCATGACAGCAAAGACATGCATCGTGGGGGAAAAAAGGAGGCGGATCAGTGCGGATCATTATTTTCGGAAAATACGGTTACAGCGATATTTCTGAGCGGTTTATCTGTAGCATCTAACACGAAGTATTCTCAGTGCTGTTCATACTGTCGTTTGACGAGAATGCTGCATGGTGTCAGGGAGCGGTTCATGATTTGTATCAGATATCCCTCTATTTCTCAGGTATGTAGTAGAACTTCGGTACACCCACCTTCAGCTTGCGGTACGTATTACACGGAACCAAGCCCACGTGACAAGAGGTTGGAGGACACTCGCTCATTGGCACATACTCTACACTTGAACGTATAGATATCTGGGGTCTTATATCGGTAAGTCTACTCCGTACTCTAGATTCTCTAGATTCGCTAGATTCGTAATACTTAGTACAACTGCGACCTGATGCCCTCGAGCCTGAACTTGACGTCCTTCAACACTTTGGTTTTCGGTTCCCACTCGTCAAACTGTTCGAGCAGCTGTCTCGCTTCATCTCGGAGTTCCTTCTTCACGATGTCTTCTTCGAGGATTCCGCGCATCGCGAACGGGAGGATATATGGATTCGTGGTCGCGCTGGTGCTACTGCCGCCGCTACCGCTGCCGCCGCCACCGGTCGTCGAGAGAGCCTGTCGCTTCGAGCTGGATATAGCGACGTCTTTAGTAGAGGTTGTCTCCAGGGTAAAGGCAATGGCGAGATGGTACACGGCGTCGTCTTCATACAGTCTTGAATGACCTTCTCCAGTGTACAAAGACCCTGCCAGCGGCGAGGACAGCTCTCTGATCAATCCGTGATCCGGCACACCCACGTTCCTCAATTTTAACACAAATCCCACAAGATTACTCAGAAAGTTGGGAGCGTGGATTCTCGAATCGATCGAGACCGCGCGGTAGATGTGTGGATGTGTCAGTGGTGCAAAGATTGATGACTCCATGGATACCAATTGGTCGTCGATGCTCCCCACAAAGGTGACTTTAACTCCAAATTTCAGGCAGTCGGAGATGGCGGCCATGTAGTCTTTGGACACCTTGGAGGCAGGGTCTGTGAATTCGAACAACTCTCCAGCGGAACCCGTTATCCAGGGGGATCTGTAGTCCTGAAACGGACCCATATTCACACCGGCCATGGCGCAGACCCCCACACGGGCAGTCGACGAGAGACAGCCGAAATGTATAAGTTTGGCCACGAGCATTAGTGCCACAGGGACACCCTGAGAATGGGCTGCGATCATGACGAAGTCGGATCTTCGAATCTCGTCGATCCAGTTCAGGAGGAGTTTCCATAACAATTCGACACGTTCGGCAATGCGTCCTTCGCCTTCCAATGCTGCGGTTTTGACTTCACATTCGTAACCCTGAGATTTTGTGTATTTTCGAATGTTTTGTGCCGCCTTTTCGGCGAATTTGATGCTGGTGCCGGTGGGTTGGCCTATAAGCGATCGAACCATGGGACCAGGAAAATAGCCGTGAACGCCAATTGCCAGGGCGTTGTTTATTCGAGGCGGCTCTCTTACCAGGGAGAGGTGGTTTAACTGAGTAGATTCTTTGGTGTAGTAGAGGAGGCGCGCTAGTTGCTGGAGTAGCGAGGGTTGTTCTTCTAAGGTGAGCGTGTTCTTGAGTAGGGGAAGGAGCAAATTCCTGTCTTCATTTTCTTTTTTCGAAGGTGCTGGGGACGCTGGGCAAGGTGTTGGAGCTTTGGCGGGTTCCCGCGCAATGGCCGTTGCATTGGATGATTCAGCTTTGGTGGTCAAGGGTTCCTGTTTCGCGGGGACAGCTTTCTTCTGGGTTTTTGGGGTGCGCTTCTCCTCTGTCACTGGCTGTTGCTTTGTTCCGATGGGTTTCTGTCCTGTGGTCTTGTTTGACTGTCCTTGCGGAGATGGCTTTACCACGGGTTTTGCAGCGTCGTCATGTAGACTGATGGAGGCTCGTTTCGGCCGGGTCTGCGAAGGTGTATTTGATATTGCAATTTCGCCGACATGGGGCTCATTCTCTAATTTCGTAGACTCAGGGCGTTTCTTTTCTCGAGACCAAAACACCCATCCTGAAGACTTGGATCCGTCCCCCGGAAGTTGTGGTGGTGGTGAGGTTTCGAGGGACGAAGCTTGAGACCCCGATTTTGTCTTGGGCGTCTTGGGCGGTGGAATGTCGAGGTTCTCTGTCTGTTTCTTTGCAACTTCTGAGTTCTCAGCCGTTTCCACGGTACTGGGCTGTGGTGGCTCGGATGAAGGTTCTGCCTGCTTTGTTGATCCGCCAGGGGGTTGATCACCGCTGCTCCACATTTGATACCAGCTCCTTTTATTGTTGGTGTTTGTAGAAATTGGTTTCGCTTGCTCTTGCATTTCCTGTGGAGGATTTACGGGCCCCGCAGATGTCTCGACCGCTGGAGTGATTTCAGGCTCCTCTACAGGCTTGGGAGGTGGTTGTGATGGTAGTTGCACTTCTGCAGGTTTCGCTGAATTGCCGTCTCTTCTACCTAGCCAACTAAACCACATACTTTGAGATTCTGGCACTTGCTGAGGAGGTTCAGGGGGTTTTGAAGTCTCTGGTGTTGGCTCTGACGCTACCTCTGGCAGGGCTGGACTACCATCCATCTTCTCTGGTCGCTGTTCCTCATCTCCTGCCGTCGTAGGCGCACTTCCGGTATTCTTGGTCTTAGTGGGCAAATCTGGCTGTGATTCCCTTTTGCCTAAAGAGCTGGCAGCTTCTGGAGTGGCGTAGACAAGAGTAGTGGTGGCATCGATAGGAAGGGAGCGGTTTGAGGTTGATTTCCCCAGCGTCATTGCTAACGAGGGCGATCTCTGGGACTTTATTTTCTCCTTTTGTGGCAAGGTCATCTCCTGAGCCGTCGGCGTAGTGATAGATGGAGCCGCATTGGGGGATGTGGAGGTGGATGAGACACTCTCACGATGCGTCTGGGTGAGAGGAGGAGCCTTGCGAGGCCAGGTTCGAACGAGCCATGACTAGATCAGTCTATCAGCAATCTGGAAATCCAATTGAGAAAGGAGTCCGATTACCGATCTTTGGTCTTGTTTTGGAGTCGAAGGGCTTGAAGCGGGAGGAGTATTTGGGGGAAGAGAGACGCTGGCGGCCTGCTGTGCCTGCTGAGCCTGTTGAGCCTGCTGTTGAGCCGTCGTCTCTGGGTGCAGTTCCTGAGTTGGGTTGGTCTTTTGGCGCTTCAATGGTCTGGCGGGCGCCATTACGGGGGACTCGGGTGGCAGCTACGTGTTTAGCATGAGGCACATAGGATGAAAACGTCGTTCGGCAGTGGACTCGAGGTCATATGCATGTATTTGGGTGGTGCGAAGCAAGGCTAACGTTGATGTAAGGAGGCTGCGCTACGTCACATGTCGCTCATTCTGGCCGCCGCCTAATCCAATCAGACCAACCAGTCGTTGTCCCTCGTGCTCTGCTTCTCCTTCATGATCGATTCGAGCACAACGCTGGTTGACAAAGTTCATCTGTCAGAGTGGAACCAAAGGACCAAGAAGAGCACCATGCCTGTAAGAGGCGTGCAAGAAGGCAGAACAGTAGCCTGGTCAGATACCACGGCATGAGCGACCTTTGGCGCCTTCGGATCCATGCTGAAAGAAACTAAATAGTAAACACAGATGGACTCTATTTTTCACTCACGATTCACGCCCAGATGACTCTCGAAGTCCCAAAAGCTGGTTTCAACAACGATTCGTCAAGAGTCAGCACTTTCCCGAACCCCCGCCTTTTTTTGCTCTAGCTGGGAAAGCATCTCACGCCAAACGTTCAATGCCTCTCCCAGAGCACTTTGAGCAGCAGAGAGTATTCCCATCGTCGTCTGCATAAATGCATATGCATTTGATGGTGTGCTCATCATCGTCCGGCAAGGAGGTTAGGTGCGCATTAGCAGCCGTCTTGGGGTTCTCTCCAATGTGGCTAAGTTCGTGCGCGAGCATGTCGTTTTTGGTCTGGTCATAATTTATGGTGTTCTCTGCAATGAGGTCTACTTCCTGCGAGAGCATGATGCTTCTGGTTGGGTCATAATCCCCAGAGTTCTCTGCAGTGTGGTCAATTCCCTGCATGATGTTGTTGCCTCTGGCCGGGGTATAATACTCGGGGGTCTTTCTATGGTGGTCAAATTCCCGAGAGGACATGCTGCTTCTCGTCCATCATGGAATCCTTGACATCTTCTCGGTTGGGCAGAGCTAGCATAAACATTGCGATAAGATGGTCGAAAATGTGGCTTCGTAACTTCTTTTGGCCAATCTTTCAGGTTTCAACGCGTCCATTGCTCCACCATAGTCATGTGCATGTGCTTGAAAATCACAGAAGGGGCAACACTTGAATGGCTCTTGAGACGGACCTCCTCCTCCGTTTACCCTCCTGGAAACGTCATGGATCGTAAGAACTGATATGTGATGACTGAGGAGATGTTTAGAGTAATCTTCGGAGGTCATGAACCTGGCCGGAGCATGGTCTGCTTCGATAGCATCGTACCACCACTCCATTGCATGAGCCCATCTGTGGTGCTCTGTCCAATCGGTCCAAGTCTCCATAACCACGTAAGGATCGGGGCAGGTTGGCTCGATGCAAAAAAAGGCTGTAGGTCATGTAAAACACGTTTTCGTCAAAGTGTAGGTTCCCGCTTTCGCTCCTCCATAAGAAGACAACAATAAGGGCACTGGAAATGACTGGCTCTGTTCAGTATTGGAGGTGGCGGCGGAAACTCAACGCTGCTCATCATGAATTTAGTGGTTGATGCCACTACCGTTGATGCAACTGGCCTCTTTAAAGCCCCTCCTCGGAATGTCGTTGCAAGTGTTTGTCCGGTGATTGCACTGTGGGTGCCGTTTTGGCGAACTATCCGCCGGGGAGATTCTGCCTTTGAGCTGCTTAAGTTCCGGAATGAACCCATCTGCTCTGGTGCCAGAGGATAATAGGAATGAGCGGACAGAGTTGAATCGTTTGAAGTCGTTCCGCTATAAGCGAGCCGTTTCTGGTGCTTTTGCTGACACATAAATTGCCGGCGTCGCGAAGAGATCGCCTTGCACAGTCTTGCCAGCAGAGATTCATTAACATAGTATCGACTCCGGAGGACTGATGGCAAATTTGTCATCTCGAAGATTTCGGATTGATTGACACCATCCTCGTCGTCGTGGTGATAGGTTGCGGCTTTGATTCGGCGACTTCTGACGCCCGAAACTCGAATGACACAGGCGAGATGGATTAGTTTAGTAATAACGTCCGGGATATGCTCAAGACGATTCTCGATTTCCAAAATCAAAAGTTCGAGATCCGTCAAGTGTTTGGTCTGGGGTTCGCTGTCGGAACCACTGGCGTCATCTGAATCAGACAGCTCAGATGGAACTTCATCCACATATTGTCGGTCTTCCTTGAGGAGGATAGACACTGGCCAGAATTAGCGGCTCGGAGGTATCCCTGGCAAATCAGCCATGACCTGCCTTCGACGAGATCTGAATAAAGGCTCTTTAACAAGGAGACGACGCCTTGCCTGACGTCGGTGGCCTCTCTCGGCCTACAGTCGAGAGATGCATGATCGGACGCAAATACTCCAATGTTGCTAGCCCACATCCGAAACTGCTCGAACTCATCACGGAGGTCCGCAATCGTCAGAATGGGCTTGGTCTCTGGGGGCTGTTTGAACAACAGGGGCATTCGACCAGCGACAGCCTCATCTGTGTAAACAGCAACCAGGATCTGTCCGAATCCCCTCCGGCAGGGCTCGGCACTGTACCGAATTTCCTGTTCACCCGTGTCGGTCTCAGCGGCTCTGGCTTCCATGACCGGGCAAAATGGCTTGAGCAGAGTCAAGTAGACAAACCGTCAGGAAGTCAAGGTCGTGACTTCGGTGATGTAGCAACAAGGTGGACGTGATTTTCCCAACCCGCAAAGCATCGGCCTCTTGTTTGCGCCTGAAGGATTCCCAAGTAAGTGTATCATTGGTTGCAGTCAGAGGCTGGTCCATCTTGCCATGGCTGGACTGCTGGAAGCGTTGGCTGAAAGGAGCGCAGCAAGGCGCACGCAAGCCCAGGCGTATGAGAGACTAGCCCTCTTAGAGAGTCGAAGAGACGACTCCACCACCACAAACTTCAACAAGATAAAGAGCTCCATGTCAACTCCAAAAGCTCGTCGACTGAGAAGACACTCACACACGAAGATCGACTGCAAAGCCCAGATACATTAATTGGCGATCCATGTCCGGAATTGAGATTGTGGGCCTGCTGCTGGGAGCTCTGCCATTGTTCATCTCGGCAGCGGAACACTACCGGGATAGTTTTGCACTTGTCAAACGGGGCCTAAGAAGAAGCAGTTCCTGCAACAGTTCAAGGATAAGCTCTCTCTGCACCGAACTCTGTTGTGCCTCTATATCAAGGCCGTGGTGGGAAATCAATCGCTGCAACCTGCAACTCAAGCAGAGTTGGTCGTCGACTTTTAGGGCGATGCATGGCGAAGACCGGAAGTGGTCAAAGAGTTGTCCAACGAACTTGGGGATGCCTACCAGCCTTTCATCACGCTTCTGACCAGCATCTGTGCGACTCTGGCGAAGCAACTCCAGTCTGATGGCGGCAGCGATGGTGCGACAGATGGTGATGTCGCAAGTTTCACACCTTTCGTGAGTGCCTGCTCATCAGCTAACGTTCGATAAGGTGAATAAACTGCAACATCTTTGCCTTGACGCTGCAACAGATACATCTGCATCTGCACGGGAGCACATCTGGAGCAAAATCAAGTTCAGCTGGAAACACCCTGATAGGTTGAACATGTTGGCCGAGTTGAAAACCTAAAATACAGCGTTGGAGAAGTTAGGCACCGCTGTGAACCACGCGAAACCCTGCGAACGGAAACAGCAGACGCGGAGGGCGCATGCGACTTTCAAGCTCCGCGCTGACACCGAGAGGCTGTATGAAGTCACTTGCAGGGCCTGCAGCTGCCAGTCTCTCAAGCAAAGGGATGTAGGCCTCGGACTTGCTGTTCATCATCACGACAATTCGACCAAGGATGACCCGTGCTTTCAGTTGCTGTTGTTTGACGCCAACGACAAGGCATGCGTCATGACTGTAAAGATGATCAAAGCTTCAGAACCGTTGAAGCCGCCCAAGAAGAAGATACGATTCGACCTTTCGGACCGTCAAGCCACTGGCAGCGCATGTGTCAAGACGAAGAAGCTTCACGACCTTTGCTTCACGACCTTTGCCTGGAAACCCGACTGGCCCAGCAGGGCAAAGCCCGTCTGCACCCGGTTGTGGATGAAAAGGGGCAGATGATTACCACTGGACAGTCCGACACTGTGGCGGACAAAGACCGAATGCTTTTCGCTATGCGAGATTATGTCGAATTCAAGCTCTATGATCACAAGCGCTGGCTGCAACGGGAGAAGACCATACTTGCAGTCATCCTCGCATACTCGCTGCTCCAGTTACACGAGAGCTCTTGGTGGCAATCCTTGTGGAATCCTCAAAGTATTTCCTTCCTGGGCCCTGGTCATTCCCATCTTGCCACTTGCAGCCACCCCGATCAGCGTGTCAGGTTAAGGAGACCGTTCACACGCTCAATGGTGGCGGGGAAATAACCCGCCACAGTCCCCAGGTCCAGCGCTACGGAGAAATGCTCATTTACACGCTCTCGGGGTTGTTCTGCTCGAGCTCTATTTAAACCGATCGACCAAAGAAGTGGTCGATGCGCCAGGTGGGATTGACTATCGAGGCGTCGCACAAGACCTGCTGGAAGAACATTCGGACGACATCAATATGACAACAGAGTATATTCGGGCTGTGCGATTCTGTCTGAGCCCTCACCCAAATCCCTACTCGGGCTCGTTCAGTTTTGAAGACGAGGGATTCCGCGAAATCTTCTACAGCGAAGTCATCTCCATGCTGGAGGACAACCTGGTGTCGAGGTTCGAAGCAGACAACAGCATCTGGAGGGACGAAAGAATTGAGTGAATCAGCACTCATCGAGTATGCGGAAGTCCATGAGAAGAAGACGACGATATTTTCCAACACGAGAGATCTTCCTCAAGAACACGTAGAATGTTCTTGGTAGATACCGTAACAGGGTCTTCATGCACAGAAAGAGCGAATAAATACGTTGGCCTTGCTCTATACCAATTATGCTCGTCGACTGGCAGAAACGTCAAGTATATGTGGAGGGTACCTAGAGATAGGTAGCGCCATCTTTATTGTGCGTGAAATGTCGGTCAACTTGAATCTCCACAGCCGCGTGCGCTCCTCCTGAAAAATCATTGTGGGTCACCAAAGAACGCACCGCAACCTTGCATTTCAACCCACGTCTTGATCTCTTCTAGAGAAGAGGGCACCGAAGCAGCAGTCTACCAAGGACAATAGATAATCATGGCCAAAACCTCAAAGATCAAGAAAGACCCCACGGGTAAGTTCCCAAAATTTCCTTCCGCCCACAGTCCCCCGCCCCGACTTCCTAGGGGATTTCTCACACAAAACCAACAAAATAGCGAATCCCCGCTCCCGCGCCTCAAAGCGAGCCACCTCCCCTTCAATCGATGTGGACAAGTCCCTCAAAGACGCCCCGCGCGCCTCGGACGCGACACCGATCCTATCCACCCGCCCAAACAGCGGGGTCACCAAGGCGAAGCGGAAACAGAAGCTCCTCTCACGCGGGCAGCGGCGCAGACACGAGCGAGGGCTTGCTCGGGCAGAGATGGTCCAGGATCAGTTCGCACGAAAGATCGAGGACGCCTCGCATCGGCTGAGGAAGAGGCGCGAGAGGAAGGGCATGTGGGAGGAAGTCAACGGGACGAACAAATTTGATAAGCTCACGGCGATTCTTGGTGAGCAGGATGGGTGGGTGGATGAGGATATGGAGGAGGTCAAGAGTGACGGAGGCCATGTCAAGGATGTTGAAAGCTTGCACACCGTCTCCGAGACGAAACTGGTTGTGGTGGACCGCACGGCGCCTGTGGTGGCACCAGCACTGACAACGACTGCTACGACACAGGAAGAAGAGGACGAAGCCGACAAGATAACATAATGGCTCCAAAATTCTCCGTCGTCGACATCTGCCAACTGCCAGTATGATTATTTCTTCGGCCGCAAATGCGTGAGCATCCTTTCAATCTCGACCAACTGCTGCCCATTGGCCTTGTCCCGAAGCAACTCCAGCGAATTCACATCCTTGGCCTTCAAGGCCTCCTCACCAGCTTTCACGATCATCCCGCACTTAACCCACATTTCGATCCTCTCAGAAGGCTTGAGGTTGGTACATTTTGGAATGAACGACGAGGCAAGGCGAGTGTTGCCCGCTCCCAGGACTTCGTTGTAGAAGGGCTAACCGCAGAGTATCAGTATCGGAAAAGCCCAACAAACTCTTTCAAAGAACGAAAATATAAACTCACCTCCCATCCAATCGGTGACTTCTTGATCTTAGCAATTTCCTCCACCTCACCCCACAGACGGGCTGCCGTCAAAGCCCGAAGCCGAATCCACCACCATGTCTTCTCAGGAACCCGAAAATCACCCTGGACCTTGGCAGCTCGTTTGCTGTACCCAGATTGGATCAGGCGGAACATGGTCTCGTTGACGCTCAAGCCCACATAGCTTCCGCTGCCGTCAGTGATGTCCTTATCAAAAGCCTCTTGCATTTTGAGAAGTTGCGCGGCCTCCGTGAGCGCTTTGGTGTGGAATTGACCGGTGGAATCTTTTGCATCAGTGAGCAATCTGCCAGCGAGCTTGAGCTTGTCGACCACTGCCTGAACCTGTGTCTGTTGCATGGCTTCTCCTAGCAACAAGTTCGAGCCCTCGACGGGCCGATCGTCTTGATAGTACAAATCCTTCAGCAGTTCTCTGTCTGACACTCTGAATGAACTCACCACAAGTGCCGATGCCACAGGTTTGTCGCTGATGGTGCGGAGGAAAGTCGCCAGTGGCAGCTTCTTTTTCAACTCCAACAACACGAAGAAAACCAAGTCGGTGTCCCCGGACTCGATTGCCTTGTTGAGTGCGATTTCGTCCTCCTCCATGTTGAGCAGGAGAGGTACTTGTTTTCCCGCCCTTGGTTCATGATTTAGCAAGGTCGTTGCAAGATGGCTTCGTCCATCGTCATAGGCTGCTCGTGCAATGGCTTCAAAGGAGATGCCATGTTTGCCGCGCAGCCGCTCCACCACAATCTCTCGAACAGCATCGTCATCTGCAGATGATCCTCGAACTTTCTGGCAAGCCCAGTGAACATAGATCTTGCTGGGCGGAAGATGTAAGAACTCCGACAGCTTGATCGCAAGGAGGTATTCTCGTCTATTGATGAGACGCGCTATGAGTCGTTCCGGTGTCAGTCTGATGTACTGTTCATATGACATGTATAGGCCGATGCGGTAGTCCCGGACTGCATTCAACACTCTTAAGTCTTCGCACACGTCGACGAACTCGTCACTGCTGTACAGTTCTAGTACCGATTTGCCGAACGAAGCGGCGCGTAGCAGCTGTTTCTGGAGAGTCTGGTTGAATTCGTTCCCAGCGGCCCGAATGCACGTTTCTACTGCATCTGGCAGACTGGGTTTGATCCGCTGTATATTCTCGTCTGCCTTGGGCGACTTCTTCTCCAAGAGCTCGATCGAATCAAGAAGCACCGCCGCCGCCGACGTTGAACCAAGCTTGAACACTTCTTCCAGTGGATCGGGAACCTTGTGCAAGAATTCACACACTTCATTCGTAATCAGCCGGACACCGTCAATATCGGGAATGACATGGACCTGGTCGTCGTAGTAGTACTTGACGGCAGCACCATTAGGCCCAACCATGTGGATTTCGTCTTCCCAAGCTAGGATCACTGAATCGTTTCCACACCAGTAAATCTGCCTTGGAGTAGTTTTCGCTTTCGAGTCGTATTCGCTGTATTTGTTTTGGAAGTCACTGCCGACGACCCACACTTTGCCGTCCTCGGTGAACAATGCTGCAAATCGCCCGTTGGGAGAGACGCTGACGTGCTTGAACGGGCCATCTGAGAGTCCTCGATCTTCGGCTTCGGTGACATCCACGACATAGATTGTCTTATCTATTGCAAGCAGCACCTCAACAGACCTAGAAAGTGTATATGCCGGTGGAATGAGGGACCAGGAATGGACTTCTCCTTCTGGTACTTGAGCAAGCAGCCTGGGTCTAGGTTCTTCAAAGGAGGAAACAGCTACCAAAGAGTTGTTGGAAAGCAGAGCGACGAACCCGTGCGACCAGAACCGGCAAGACACGACACCGAACTCCTCTGCACCGTGTCCAAGCGAGAAAGGTTGAAAATCGCCATGGAGCTCAAAGTAGCAGTGGACAGTGCCCTCTTCGGTCACGACCAAGAGCTTCTCATCGTCCGACCAGCCCAGGCCTCTGATTACGCCTTTCTCCCAGTTGATGTTGCTGATGAGCTTGCCTGACGAGGAATAAATGTCGATGGTCGGCTTAGTTGACTGGCCGGTTCGATACCGTACAATCTTGGTCGTGTCCCGCCAGAGCGCTGTGGCCGTCAGCTCAGAAAGGTTGAAGCAGTGATGGAAGCTTACCTAGAGCGCCACCATATGGTGCCCCTGCTACTAGGTAGTTCTCAAGTTCGAGATCCTGATCAAAAATTGACTCATACAAGGGTACTTTTCGGTAGAATTGATCGCCAACTTTCTCCCAGCCGGCCCTGGGATTGTTAGCTGTCATGAGGTCGGATGATCCATGAGAATACTAGACAATCTGATCTTGACGGATTGGATGAGAGACTTGAGAGGAAGATGGAGGCATCTATTGTTGTCGGTTGCGGGCCAATGAAATGAGGGCTTGGCTCGGCTAAGTTTCCATATTCTGGAGTTCCAGAGCCAACGTCAGCTGGCACCACTGCTGTCTTGTTAAGCTGATCCGTTGCCAGTGTCACCTTTTGCCGGAAACACCAGGAATCTATCAGAGATCGGGCGCTTTAGGGACTGGGTAGCGAAAGGGCGGGAATACATATTTTGCCACAAAGCTAGGCTCGACAAACTTGGAGAAACATGGATACGACACAGGCGTTCTTGGATCATGTCAACGACATTACAGACCTCGAGCTGGCCGTCCTTCTCAGCCTCGTTGCCCAACATCACTGCATAGTAGTAGGGAGAGATGATCTACTCGATGATCTGGCATCCGAACTAGCATTGGTAGGTTCCTATACAGACCTTTTAATCTCGACTAATGTTCGCGCAGATAGTCAGGGACATGTTCGGCCTCTCGTACATAATCCTTGATCGAGATGATCTGCAGTCTATCAATACCTTTGGTGCTGCCATTCTGGATGACGATAACAATGAATTCGATGATATTCCTTACGAATCTGATGTCGGTGTGGAGAGCGTCTGTCTCAGTCTTCCCTCTAAACCTACTTGCTCCTCTGACTGAATTCTAGTCGAGCATGCTCCATTCAAAACTAGCCTCTGTAAATTTCCGCGCAGGATCTTCGAGCCTCATGGATCGCCCGAATTTGGACACAAGACGGGTTGTGAACGTCATCATTGCCAAGGACTTCAATCTCGCCCACGAAGACGTGCAGATCCAGGCTCTCGAGGTGCGCTATTTTCCCCAGCTGCACTACTTTAGCTAACCAAGTGCGTAGCTTATCAGGAAGCGCAGAATATACAGTCGAACGACCGTGCACCTGGCGCCCACGGTATTCCTGCTGCTTCCGCTTGTTGCCGCATCTTCCAAGCATATCCGGTTGAACAAACACCTTGTAAGTTCAACCCATTCAAGTCACGCCTGAGCTTAACTTAGCAGAACGACCGCATATTCATGTCCCACTCTCACTCTCCAGAAGATGGTTTTCCCAATCTCGAGGAGTTAGATGACGCAGCCAATCCCGAAGACCACAACTCCAGTTATTCTTATTCTCGTTCTCCAAGTGCGAGAAGGCAGCAAATGATTGCGAATCGTCGAATCGGCGCAAAGGTAGGATCTGTCGCCCGGTTGTTCTGTTGAGTTTCTGACGGCGGCCTTCAGTTGATCGAACAGCTTCGTGCCCAAGGACATGCTGCGACGATTACCCCGGATATTCGAAGATATCTTCAGGATGTCGTGGCATTTCTTCGGATGGAGAGAGGGGTTGACGGCGGTATATCGCCGTATGCGACAACGCTTTTTCTCGCCCTGGCAAAGTCAGTGCTTGGAATTAAATTGCATACTTATGATTCTGATTTGGCTAGCAGGTACCTCGCTCCATTCCACGGGATTGACTATGTTACGCCATCGTTAGTCGCGTTGGCGGCAAAAAAGATATATCCGCATCGAATCATCATGGCCACTCCCAGTCGCGAGCGCAGCACTCAATATGGGACTGACCTTGCTTCTGCGCAAGATCTTTTGAGTGACTTGGATCCAGACATTGTAATCCAGAACGTCCTCGATACGATTGAATGTCCTACATGATCCAACCCTTCTCCGAAAAGCCAGGTTACAGCGATAAAAGCTTCGGCTATGCTAGAGCACAGCTTAGTGGCCACAGCTTATCGCGATCACTGCAACGGCGCCTCTCCAAGATGACTCGCTCGGTCCCAGTAGGTTCTCTTGTACAAGCCTTTGCCTGCGGAAATGCGGTCGCTTTGTTGCTGTCTGGTGCCTTTTTTTTTTTTTCTAAATCAATATCAGCTCTAGGGCATTGCTCAGTCAAACAACGAAGCAACGGGTGGCTCTGAACCGTTACTCTGTTTCTTGAACGACCGCTACTTCTCTCGACACGAACAAGTCCTGAGACTATCTACCTATATGCGCACCCGCACATGCAGGAGGATAGCTGCACCTAATAGATTAATGCAAATGCGGGTTGGTAAGTGGCACTCCTTCTAGCATTGTTGATTCTCTGACTGACTGGCCGGCGCAGATTATAGGGATCATCGATTCCCCTATGCCCGCCACCTCATGTTCTGCGGATTTCTGGATGCCCCGAAGTACTTTGGTGCAATACAGGCTCGGCAGGTTCTGAAGACCGTAACTCTCGAGGTGAACTGGCTCAAATCGACCAGTCTCGCTGCCTTTCAGGAGTGGACAGAAGATCCGTCCTGTATCCATCTAAGGAGGACACACCAAACCTAAAGTATACCCACCCGTTCTACGCTGGGAGAATTTCGTTACTATGTAATGTGAATTCGTTGGCGGATTTGGCAGTTGGTGGTGACACATTGCAACGATCTGGAATGGAGGTTGCCCGTGCAGTATCGGGGAGAGTTTGTGGGTTGAGCAACTGGAATGGTTTTCGGGATTCATTGGTCTGCTGGAGGGAAAGAAGAACGGATGAACGTGGGACGAAGTTGAAAAGTGGATGATATTTGCTTTCGCTTCTTCTATGGCCCCGTTGCTTTAGCGATCGAGAAGGATGAATGGGCATAATACTATTCCTGGTCATTCCACTCTAAAGGCTTCGGAATGCACTCTTTCATGTTGTCTTCTCTCGAATGTGCAGCAACCGTTTAAGTCTGTCGATGTGGTTTTCATGTGCATGTTCTCACCAAGTCTTTTCTCCCGGTTAGCCATCTAAGGTACCGTCGAAGACATGGTTGAGCCCTCACGGGCACTGCATTCATTGCGAAGGAGAACTAAAAGCTCATCATGGCCTTCAATCTGTGCTCCCACGCTCGTTTTGTGACGGTCGCGTTTGGCGCAATTATTTCAAAGGCATGCGGCACCCCAGGATACAGATGGAACTCGACCTCAATATCCTCCATGGCGATTCTCTTCGCGTATTCGATGTCCTCATCTCGGAAGATATCCAAGCCGCCAATGTCGATGTAGGTGGGCGGTAAGTTCGCGACAGATTTTGCACGGGCGGGCACGCAGTACTGAGACACGTCGACGTCGTGCTTGCCCACTTTGTCGGCGCCCAGCAGCGCAGTCCAGCCCGTGATGTTGTCTTCAGTCTTCCAGAAGGCGAAGGGCTCTAGCTGCTCGTTGGGGACGAGGTTGCGGTCGTCGATCATGGGATAGATGAGGATTTGTTTTGCGAGGGGTGGTGAGAGGCCTTTGTCGCGGGCCATAAGGGCAACTCCAGCGGCGAGGCCTCCGCCCGCAGATTCTCCAAAGACGGCAATGCGGGCAGGATCGACGTTGAACTTTGACGCATTTTGCGACAGCCACACCAGACCGGCGTAGCAGTCTTCGACCAGATTCTCGCCCTGTGACTCCGGCGCCAAGCGGTACTCGACGCTGAAAATCGGCACGCCAGTCTGCTGGACTTCCCATGCGATGCCCTGGGCCACCATCGCTACTGAGCCTAAAATCATCCCGCCGCCATGGCAATGCAGGATGGCCGGGCCTGGCGTTTTGGATGCTCCCTTCTTGATGAAGCTGTATACGGGCAGTGTCACACCGGCAGGTGTGGTGATGATGTGTTCCTTCTGCTCCACGTCTGGGGACTCGGGCAAGCTGCCTGTGAGAAGCGAAATGGCGGCCTCAAAGCCCTTGCGGCGGCCTTCGATGTCGTGGACGGCTGGCTTGGGCCGCGCTGCGAGCATGGGGATCATGGGCTCAAAGGCCTTGAAGTATTCGGGGTCGTACTTGAGAGCCATACCGTGACCTGTCTATATTTCACCAATTGATATCTGAAAACGTGTTCCTCGTATATGGCACAGGTTTCTGAAATGGAAGATCTACCTTCTTACCGTCTTGCCGGCTAGAAGAAACTCAATCTTCCAGATGAGAGACACTGGCTTGGCTGCCTGATAGCCTCGGCCACTGATTTCTACCCGGCCCATTCTTGCTCCTAGTGTAGAACATTAGGCAGTACTAGGTAGTAGCGTCTGAGGAACCGAGTTATCCCCCCTGATCACCCACAACTCAGGTCGTGTCATCATGCGCATCAGAGCTGGCTGTTTGTTCGATCGAGGTTGGATGACACCGAGGTTTCGGCCGGACCCTTGACCCGCAATGCGGAGTACGAGTCCAGAGAACCGAGTATACCATCTCGTATGCACAAGTCAAGCACATCTCCTAGTCTTCTCTGTGCACATCCTACCCGTAGGCATGTTTGCTGACAAAGAAAGAGGAGCTTTTCCGGACTCAGGGACCAGCCTCGTTGCTATTTTGAGGTGGGGTCGGAGTCTATCCGAACTTCCTTCAATCTGCTGCCAACTACAGTAGATTCCGCAAGAAACTCCATCGACAGCGGCTGCTTCTCTCCCATAGTACTCCGTATTGCTCACAGATTGTCTGATGGCGTTTCAGGCGTCCTGACTCTTCGCCTTACTGAAGGTATGACAAGCGTTGCCGAGGTACATAAGCCTTACTAGCCCGTGCTTGGCAGAGCTCCATATCTCTATCCATACTTCCAGTGAAGCTTGATGTCTATCATTTCCATTCTACTGCTTTGTGGTGATTTAACATCCTTTGACGCTCGCCGTTCGTTGTGTGTCACACTTCACTAGCCGTCAAAAGTCGCGTTTGCTCTGTTGTGACATCTTTTGTTGGACTCCGCGACTATTGACAAAGCTCGCTTTTATACCCCATCGCGGTCAATACCTCCAAGAACACTCAGGAACAAGAAGTGTCGCGGACGAGCTATGCTCGCTGGTGCCATTTATATCTTTGATTCCTCTCCCGCAGTCCTTCAGACAATCTGCTTTTTATATCGGCTTCTCCCTCAGTATCGACGACAGCATGCTCATCAGCTTCCTCTTTACAGTGTAGACACTGTCAGCAATGTCTATCTTACGATGAGGCTTCGTCTATAAGAGGGCAGCTCTATGAACAGTAGAAAAATCAGGCATGTGGGCTTCGATAATGATTCAGGAAACTCGTCCTCACGACACTTGAGGGGTCCTAACCTGTCTGGCTTGAAAGCCGGGAACTTTCGGCCATGTATGGTGAGCAATCTTCCTTCTGTGCATGGTTATTGACCAGCTTTCCCCTAATGCGTGAACAGGATATAGCCCTTGAGCTGTTTTGCCTCGGGCAACAAAGGATCCACAAACAGCACACGGCCATCAGACCAACAAGTCCTTAACCGCTTGATGAATCTCGATCACGGCGTAATCAAACTCGATCAGAAATCGACCATGTTATATATATTATGCGTTGCATCTTACGCAGAGGCGAGGGCAGTATGTCACTGCTGTCGCAAAAATTGCGAAACACGTCTCAATCACCAACACCTTTGTTGCCGGACAATGGGTGGCGTTATTTTGACGTTTCCTTTGATATCGTGGACAGGAGACTGAAAGCCCCCGATCTTCATACAATGGCTTCTATATGCGCAATTTTTGTCTCGGTGGTGGAGCTCAAGGAGCAGCAGGTTGTCCGAGTCGCATATTTAATAACCGGACCCAAAAAGTGAATCCCTGTTTCTGCCTCGACTTGTTAAACGTTTGCATCGTCACTAAAAGGTCAGGCTTGCATTCGAAACTGAGACTGCGCTTTTCAAATACGCAATTGATACCATCCTCCCGACGCACTCGTATCCAAACCTTCATCGCTGGAAAGATACGGCTTTCACAACTCCCCAGAGACGTCCACGCTCTTATTTCCACACGTTCGCAGCCAATCTGTCTGATATGTCCGACATGGATGTGGATCCAATATTTTATGAAGCCGTGACGCGAGATGAGGCTTTTCGGCAAGCCGTCTATGACTTTATGGAGCATCATGCGCCTGTGGTCCACACTCACTATATGCGAGGTGCGCTTCACAACCTTGTCTTCTCTTATTTCGGCACAAGCCAGAACATTGAAATGCAGCGCCTAACCCTTGCCTTGCATAATACCTACAGTCTGGAAGGATTGATGGATATGGCTTTGCTCGACACCATCCGCATGAACCTAGACCTAGTGAATCAGGACAGCATCCGCACGAATGTTGGAATGGCAAATGAGATACTGTATTATGGCGTGGGGCAACAGCCAGGGTCATCGAGCGCCACCATTCCAAATCTAAGCGGGCTTGCCTCTTTTGCTGAGCCTGCGCATACCAGCACAAGCACCTTGCCAACCTATCATTTCTATCAGCTTACTGGAGAAGAGCCAGCAGTGGGCAGCTCGGCCTTCAACCGTCCTGGCAGTTCTGCCGCTGATGACGCCGGGACAGGGCATGTGACAACGACCAGCTCTGCTCCTGTTGTGGATTCTTCAAACAGTGTTGTCAAATGCCATCCAGATGGTCTCGAGCACAAAATCACCATTGAACCCAAGGACAAGAGTTGGTTGTTTAAATGTGACGAATGTGGTCACGAAGTCATATGGCGCGAGGAGTTCACCCGCCACATGCGGGTGGGAGAGGCGAGGGCTGACTTCAAGCTTGTGAATGCTGTTCCCGAAGAAGGTCTGGTCTGGTATGGAGTTGACGCCGCCGGGAACGAGTACATGGGGGGGCTTGTTGAGAGGCAGAACCCGGACGAGAGGAGGCCTAAACGAGGGATACCACCTCCTTGTGGACCACGTTTTAAAGCCCGTCGAAGAGGCAACGGATAGGCTCAGGAGGAGGAACGAGGCAACCCGCTGAATGAGAGAGTGTAAAAAGGTTGTTGAGAATAGAGCAGTCGCTGAATGTAAATAATGCGCTAGTCGTGTCTTGTAGGCAAATCCCCGTTGTCCCTAACAATATCAGCTTGATAGAGCATTGACGACCTGGTTTCGGGCATTTGGGGCAGGCGCAGCCTTGTCGTTGTGGCACTCCATGCTTCGCCGTACCGCCTTTCAGCCTCGATCTCATCGCTGCTCTCCCCCTCCCTCAATGCTCGCATTAGTGATATATTCTCGAAAAGATGCAACTTCATCCTCGTTTCTTTTAATGATATGGCTTGTCTTGTACCATGCATATCCGTCAATGGACAGCCATTCTCAGCCTCCCGGTTTGGCTGCAAATAGCCTGCGTCAACGCAGCTTTCGGCGGTGATGGTGATCATCCATACGACAGCGACGTCCTGAAACAGCAGGAATCCATCTTTGGGCTTTGTCCGGACTACACTAACTATGCGCGCCATCTGCAGTAAGGGAACCTCTGTCTCAACTCGCAAGTTGAGTTGCTAACTCTTTGCGCAGCAAACCTCTCAGCAAGGGGCCTCTACAACTACCCTTCCAAAGACCACACCCGAGCTGCCGCAAGTTCTCTTCGCCCGCCGTGGAACAAGTAATAGATGATCTCTACCCTCGATTAAAAGATCCGGACCTTGCGCAGATATTCCAGAACGCGTTTCCAAATACCCTCGACACGACGGTGCTATGGCACGTAGATGGAGAAAAGACACATGCTCCCCCATCAAGATTACTGCGAGACAGAGGCAGATGGCAAGGCGCGCACTCGTTCATCGTGACGGGCGATATCAACGCGGAATGGTTGAGAGACTCTACGAATCAACTCGCTCAATACCAACTTCTTGCAAAATCGGCCCCGGACATCTCGAAACTCATCCTCGGAGCAATCAATACACAGGCTGAATTTGTGATATCTTCACCTTATTGCAACGCATTCCAACCTCCGGACCCGTCTCGTTTGGCTCCAGTCCACTCAGGTCAAGACGACATTGTTCATCCGGCCTATGAACCCACCGTTGTCTTTGAATGTAAATACGAACTCGACAGCCTCGCTGCGTTTCTGAAGCTGACGAATGAATTCCACGCAACCACTGGCTCCACGGCGTTTTTGACCACTCGATGGTTTAAAGCGCTTGAGGCCCTTTTGCAAGTCCTAGACGCACAGGCACGGCCAACTTTCAATCCAACCACGGGATGGTACGAACGCAATGAATACACATTTAATCGCTACACACGCATTGGGACAGAGACACTCAACTTAGAAGGAACCGGAAACCCCTTAGCAAGTGGAACAGGCTTGATTCGCTCTGCCTTCCGGCCGTCAGACGATGCTACGATTTTCGGCTTCCTGATTCCCGCCAACGCAATGATGTCTGTCGAACTCTCCAGAGCTGCCAAGATGCTCAAAGCCGCCGGCGCGGCCACGTCACGAGAAACACAAGCGGTGCGAATGATCCAAGTTGCGGACGACCTCGCTCGCCGTGCAGAGACCATCAAGAACGGAATCTACAAGCACGCCGTCGTTACGCATCCGGAATTCGGACAGGTATTTGCGTACGAAGTCGACGGCTACAGCTCCCACCTCCTGATGGACGACGCAAACATCCCTTCCCTCCTATCCCTCCCTCTCCTAGGCTTTGTCGACGCCGACGACGAAATCTACCAAAACACCCGACGCATGATTCTGACCCAGCGCGGCAACCCATACTACCTTTCGGGCTCGAAATTCCAGGGAATAGGCGGTCCACACATCGGCCTACGCAACGCCTGGCCCATGTCCGTCATAGTGCAGGCCATGACGTCAACCTCTGACGGCGAGATATTAGAATGTCTCGACAAAGTGAAGAACGTGAGCGTCTTCGGTTTGATCAACGAGTCCGTGGATGTGCATCGGGGCGTCAAGCGCGGAGGCGGAGGCGAAGGGATGACGCGCAGTTGGTTCGCATGGGCCAACAGCGTGTTCGCCCAAGCAGTCCTGTGGCTCGCAGAGCACAAGCCAGGTCTCGTCCTGAGGGACAGCGACGACGGAAGCCCGCCCAAAGGCTATCGTGTGGGCGTTGGGTGGGTGGAATATTCCGTCTGACAGGGATGTATTTTGATAATGCGTGGAATGAGGCGGGATTGATGCTGAGGAAATGCTCGGGACGCAGTTGTGATCTGGTAATCAACCAATTTCAGAAAGAGAGACAGGGGTGCCACAATGTGCGCCGTGCACTGTTCGAAGGCATTCATTCACAGCTTTTATCCACCTGTCCTCCAATATTGCCAATCAAAGTATGGAGTACGTAGTCTATGCAAAAAGGACTAGTCTCGTAAATGTAAACAATATCCTATGCGATGCAATGCTATGCGATGCTGTAGTACATAGGTCTGTATCTATGTATGTATGCTATGCGATTCTCGACCCTGCTCTGCTTCTTCACACAGCCACTGACACACTCCTCCACGCGCCCGCCAGCTTCAACCAGGGCCCAGGGCCGGCCGACAAACGAATAAATTATGCATTTTTCTTCCCGAAGAAACTCATAATGTTCCCTCCACCCCCGAGCCCTTTCTTCTTCCCTCCCAGCCCTGTCTTGCTGGTATGGTTCTGGGCCTGACTACTGGATGATCCCTGACTGTGCGTCTTGGGCGCGCTGCTCTTCGGCGCTTCCTTCTTGATCGCCCGCGGAGGGGGTTCGGGTTCGTCCTCGCTGAAGCTCTCCCACACTGCTTCCTCCCGTGTCACGAGGTAGCCGTCTTCCTTCGTCGTGCGCTTTCGCATCACTTTACGCTTGCCGCGCCGACGCCGTATGGGCGGCGCCGTGGCTGCGCCTTGTTGTTCGGACTTTTCTCCGTTGGATGCTTGTTTCTTCTCGGTGTCCGAATCTGACCACGCCACTTGGTCATCTCCGTCGTCCTTTGCCACCGTGTCCACGTCTGTGCCCTTCTTCGCGGCTGGAGGCTCGTCATTTTCCATGCCGGTTGCCTCTTCCACTCTGGGCGCGGCGGCTTCCTCTTCATCGTCAGATTCCATCATCTTGCGCAGCTTCGCGGCCTTGTCTTCGCGCTCCTTCTTTATATCGCTGGATCGTTTTTTTGAGGTCGCAGATTTTCGTGTCCCAGTGTCGAGGAACAGTGCTTCGTCTTCAGACTCACCTTCATCAGCGTCATTCATGATTGTGTCTGGGTCTTGGCTGGTAGACTTTGGAGTGGCGGCAGGTGTTGATTTTGGACGACCGTGTTTGGCGAAGGCTTTAAAGAGGTCGGACGCATCTCGTCTCAGGGTCGGCTGTTTGCTGGAGCTGGAGGTCGAGGTACTGTCGCGAGAACTGGGGCGTGAGTGTTCTTCGGATTTGACAGGTGGAGCAGCAGCCGATCCTTTAGGAGTCTGTTTTGTGCTGCTGAACAGAGTCTTCTTGTTCTCCTCTTTGATAGGTTGAGATTTTGATGCAGGTCCTCGCAGAATGACCGGTCTCTTGCCTTTCCGCCGCCGGACATCCGGGTTCTGAATCAGACCGTAGGTCTTGCTATGTTCAGCCGCAATGCCATTTATGAATAGACTTCGACTGATATCGGTCAACGTAACAAGATCTTGTAGCCGCGTAGGAGAAAGGCTGTAGATGTGTATGGATGTGATGGTTTCGTATTCTTCTTTCACCGCTAGCAACACCAGTTAGTGGTCACCTCGACTATGGGACTCCTCAGAGCACACCTTCCAGAGTCTCTTCCCTCACCAGCGTGATAGTTCGTACAGGCAGTTGTTGTACCTCCTCTTCTTCAACGTGACTACTCTGTTGGCTTGGTTCGAGCATCGAGCTGGTGAATGGAGGTGGACTTGAAGGAATATGTTCGTCTGGATCGTCGTCGGATACGTGTCTTCTCGCGGTCCCATTCGTGACCACAGCAAGTGTCGGTGTCTTCTTTATCCCCGATAAAAGATAGGTAGCATAGACCGATTGGGGCTTCTTCGTATTCTGAAAGTCGTAAAATTCGTAGAGCATGCATTTTGCGGCATTGACATGCACTTTCAAGGCTCGCGAGAGAGTGCGGTAGGATACTGTTCGCTGCTCATTTAGAACCTCGCCCGCCAGATACTTCTTGAAGTCTTCAGCCATGTTAGTTGACATCGGTATCCAGTGACGGTTATCGACAATGGTCTCAAGATCTTGATCGGCGGAAAAGAAGTTGGTGTGACGTGACGCGACTGCGATTGTGGACGCGTTGAGTGCTTTTCAGAGAGGGCACGACGCCGCTTTTACCTTTTACCGAGCGGGTTATTCTGTCAGACATTCACATTTATTTCTAGAAGTACTCCATATCAAGTCCATATAAAAGAAAGCCCTTCGCGTAAATTGTGTCCACGACAGAGACACACAATGTCCTTGCCTCGAATCGTTCTCAATACACAAGCTCCCATGGGGTGAAAGAGAGCGCTCAACAAGATCTAGGCACCCTTCAAGTTCGCTGCTTTCAACATAATAGGCGTGTCGGAATCAGGACGGACTGAGTGCAAGCCTATATTCCTTTCAGCTATACAGTTATGCTTGCTCAGCGGCAAATGACTGAAATGACGAGTCCGCATTACAGCTACTCTTAGAAGGTTCAAAGGCACAACGCTTCTTGGAAATTCTTTGCCTCGGAGCCGTGGATGGAGTGAGCTTGAGGGAATCAGCTTACTTTCTGCATGGGATGTTATCTTGGCTAATGACTTAGCAGGAGAACTTGATGATCCTTGGGGACCTGCCGACTTACGGGTCTTGACTTGACAACTTTCATCCATTATGGCGCTTTGAGTTAATGAAATAGCTTTTCTCGACTGCTTGTCCGTCTCCGTTCAGCTTTCATTCTCAACGCGGCGTGCGACAATCGACCCCAATCGATAACTTTGTCTCGGATCTACATATGCCTAGAGCCCCATTTGTCAAGATTACCCGAACCCTAACTTCGGGAACAAAGGGCAGCCAACTTGTCCTTAGAACTGCTGTTGTTCTCGAAGAATTTGGATCTTCCATTGCAGATACTTGTATGATCAAACGAAGATCGGCTGCCGATTTGGTCCATCCATGCTCGGCCAGCCCTCTCCAGCACGGTTTCCAAGGGAACTTCACTTGCTTTCTCCTTGTCATTTCGACGCGGGCTAGAGCTCGTCTCATGGGACGGCGACCAAGTTTGCTCACTTTTCATTAAGCGGCAACCGGTTGAAAACACGGTTTTGGATCGACAAGATCGGACGTGCTTTTCGTTGGCCTGTCCACGATATCATTTTTAGACGAGGCTGTGCATATGAACGTGTCGTCTGACAGAAACTGAAGTGCTCAGAATAGTCAAGATCATTTTGTCAGACAGTACAATTCTCCGCCACCGATCCGCGGTGTTCCTGAAGGATTCGGTAAGCGAATTAAGTTGCTTCTGCCACCACGTTTGGCGTTCTGAAACAACCACCAAAACTGAGCCTTGGCCGCAGTAATATCGAATGAAAGTCGAGGAAAAGCCATCTTTTACGAGCTATATTCCACTCAATCCAGCGAGGGAACGGATGGATTCGCGTATTGCAGTCCACCGGACAATCCACAGTCAGCCTAAGTGAACCGGCAAGACTGAGGCTATCTCTGCAAAAATGAACTCCCAGGGTAAGCTATGGATTACCTAAACCCCTCTACTCGTCTCTTTGTCAAAATTACTGATATTTCAGAGTCGCCTGCGCGCTCGTGGGTGTGCTGCTTCTGCTCCAAATCGTATCGCAGATCGTAAGTGTGTCCATCTTACAACGGGCCCAGTTGGCGGTAAAGATGGGTAAATTACCCAAAGAAATGATCGGTTCTTTTATCCAGTCGATCAGCTGGGTTGGGGTAGTGTCAAGTGTGCGCCTCTGCCGCAATATGCAAATATCTGTGGAACCTCAAAATTCTTCATCGCGAGTGACAGAAGCCATCCCTGGTTCAACACCCCCCACAATCAATGCCTTTGATTACCCTTCCCTTGACTCGTGTTTCCACGACATGCCAGATTTCACTATCTGGGTTATCGCATGCTCATTATTCATGGACTGACAATCCCTTAGTGATGTGCTCCGCCGGCATTACACCAACTGTCCATCCAGGGGTGAGCGAGCAATTCCTGGAAAGCTAAAGAAAGGCAAGAAAACACGAGCGTGCGATTCATGTGCACGCCTAAAGCTGGGGTGCGATCTGGATTGTCCATGCGAGACCTGCCTCTCCTATGGCCTTGAATGCACATACACCCGGCTCACGGAGCAGCAGCAGCGGCCGCATCTCGGAGTTGAGCCTCCCTCAATACCGACTCAAGATGTACAACGCCCTAAAAGTAGCTCTGTCAGCACCGGCGTTTCTCAGAGGCCAAGGAATCTTGGACAGCAAGAGCGGAGCAAGATTTCCTTATCGTTCCTACTCAACTATGTGAACCCGACCACAATCATGGCAGACGCCTACGGCCCCGTTACAGAGAAAGCAGAGACAGACGGTGAGTCTGCATCGTGGCGAGGATTTGAAAGAGTCTCTAACGTCAAACGCCCTAGTGCCTGTGCCTCTGAACAGTAACGTCACTGCAAGCGATTTCGGTACCTCGACTGCTACGGTGCAGTTGGTGACTGATGAGTTCATCTCGCCGGTCCACAGTGATAGATTAGACGACTTTTTCGTGTCTTGTCTGTTTCCCGATTCAGAAGTCTTCCAGGGCACAGGCGAAGACGCAAACTGGTCTTATAATTGGCAAATGCTAGAGCAGTCGGACCCGTTTAGAAATTCCCCAACCGTTAGCCCTTTCAACGGCTTGGTAGACTCGTTAACCGGATTCACACTCTCCCTTCCACAGGGACACCCCGAGAGCGCACCGAACGGTCGACTAGCAAAAGCAGCGACCCTGTTTTCGAGGGACAATGTTGAACGATTTGTCGGTCATTACTTCCGAGACTACTGCCCACATAGCCCGATTCTCCATCCCGGAACTTTCCAAGTGGCTGCAGCATCCCCCTTCCTACTCACAGTGCTGGTACTCACAGGGGCTTTATTTTCTTCTTCGCCGAAGGATATGGCGCTAGCAAGGGACATCCTTAGCCTGGTGGTGGAATATGCTTTCAGCAACCCGATTTTCAGAAAGCTACTCCTTGGGCCTGACGCAGTACGGGGACTGGAGGACCGCGAATCGCTGCAAGCACTCGAAGCTGCTTTCTTCATCACGCAAGTCCAGCTCCGAGAAGGGTCTCCGTCCAAAAGGAGAGAAGCGCGAAGCTCTCGCTTTGAAGAAATAATATCTGCCGTTCGAGGCCTAGGTCTACTAGAAACTCGAAACTCGTTCTTCAATGCTGAGCCACCAGCTCCAGAAAAGTTTCAATGGGCTCAGTTTGCTGCGTGCGAATCCAAAATTCGTCTTGCATGTGGTGTTTTCAATCTTGATGCCAGCTTTACCGTTCTGTACAATATGACTCCACGATTATTTGCGGAAGAGATGAACATCGGCATGCCTGGTTCTGCCGAGGCTTTCTTTTCCGATAATGCTCAGGATTGCTATCGGCTTTCACTGAAGGAGGATGGGATTCAAAAATTGTCGCTTTCGCAGGTATGCGACGCTTTTCTGCAGGACGACTGGGATGAAGAGATGCGCTGTTCGATGCAAAAATTGTCGCTTCTGCATCTTTGCAGCCTAATTTTGGCGTTGACGCAGATTTTATGGCTTTCGCCGTACAGGCCCAGAAAGTGGCAAACAATGAAACGAGTGAAAGAGGCGTTGAGGAGATGGAAAGCAGCCTGGGATTTTCAGAACGCGACACTGACTGCTCGACAACGCGACCGTTACGGGTTCCTGAAGACTATTCCCCTTGGGTTTTGGCAGATCACAACTGTCTTGGTGGAGAAAGACAGTACCAGTTTGGACACGGCTATCACTCAAAGCGCCATTGCTGCTCTTAACAACAATCAGTGTGCGCAAACTATGCTCGAAAGCGTCGGAAAGGAACAGAGTTGAACTCCATGTTTGCTGGATCGAGTGGTCAATCGACGTCATCAGCTCCCTGGATCTCGGTTCCCTACCGGGGCAAGACCATCGAGGAATAGGTCTCATGGTACAACAGCGAAGGCATCAGGCATTCCCCATCTTGATGGGGAGGAGATTTTCAAGGTGCCACTAGCCTCTGACCGACTTACCAATGAAGCCAGAAGATGATCTTGAATGTGAAGATAGTGAAGCATGTGGTCACATGCTCAAGACATCTTTTCATGCAGCCATTCTCTGCGCGGCCATTCAGAAAAGAGCATACGCGGGTGTCAACATGACAAAAGACATCTACTCAGATAATTTTGTTTGCTACGCATTTGTCACCGCTCCTCGGACGTTATTTCACAACGAATCAACCTCGATCTTTACTGTCGGAAGGGATGAGGTTCTCGACCTCAGGAGCTGGTACAATGGTGTGCCTAGAGTTTGGTCGCCAACCTATACACAGTTTGCTTCTTATTGTCTTGATAGTAATGACAAGACGCCTCTTTAACGGCTAGCAGAGTGGATAAGTTGATGTTGATGCTAGATTTACTTTAGAAAATAGAATAAAAGTTTCAGGGTAACAATCAAATTGCATGACTCCGCTGCATTTGAACCAAATTTCAACATTACCAGAGAGCAAGCATTCGTCCACTAAGCCCCGAGGAGGGCCATAGATTCTCTCGACCGAAGTAGCAGCAAATTGAGCGAAACACGGCAAAAGTAGAGTCGAAGGGGGGACCTGTTGTCTGGCGTCTTGGGTGTCACCACAAGGCTCCAAAAGCGGCGAGGGGGTCTTCGTTTCTCCACTTGTAGTTAGTCAGTTTCCTTCTTTCAACAACATAACATATTGATCGATCAAACTATCCTTTTGTTCCATCGGCAGTCGGCGCAAAGAATTCTTTCTTTCTTATTTCTTGAGCAAATCTCTGATACATTGATAGCTTTGTCGATTCGTGCGCGCATAGATAGACAAGGAAGTGAAATTATAGGTAAGATACGCCACCGCGCCCCTTTGTCCTTCCCGTGAACGCAGCCATCAACTACCATTGCTTCTATCTCTATTAAAAAGGACATGCTTTTGACTGACTCGGTCACCCAGGCAGTAACGGAGGGCAGAGAC